GACAAAAGGGAAGAAAACACTGCAGCAAAGACATCTCAAATTAACCAGTGCTGCTATTTAAGAGAACCCGTGTCAGGAAAGATCTCAGAAACAGGCAAGAACTGCAAAATAACAAGGGGTTTATTTCTTTAAAGGGTTCCCCCACCCTTTGTTTTTTTCCTTTTCTGTGCAGAACATTCTACTGTCCCTCCATATACAGCCCTCATTCATCCCTTTGCTGCTGCACACAACCCACATCCTTTCTTACCCTGAAAAGAGTTAAATGCTCCTTTTTCCTCTGAAGAGTAATTTTTTATTTCTCCTGACAAGGCCTTTTATGCAATTAGCTAGAGAAGTGATGGCCAGAAAGAAAGAATAACACATGTAAAATCATGCCAGAGGACAGAGTAAGTAGTAACTTGTTGAGTCTATTACAGGAGAAAATGTTTAAATCAATGGTGTGTTCCCATAAATCAACAGCAATATTTAGCCTTAACTATAACCATCCCTGAGCAATGTGGAACAGAGAGAAAACACTTAAGCAAAACCCAGCAGTGATGCTCCTGGAACAAGGAGGGGAGTGAGCAGCAGATGGATAAAGCACAGCATGGGGTTACCTCCAGGCAAGGAATTGATTCGATGGGTCAGAATGGAGGTGCCACAGCATTCAGGGTTGAGCAGGACTTCAGCAGAGACTTCCAATAACAGCGACTCCTACCAAGCCTGGTGCTGATTTGGAGATGGTAAAGAACCATTCTCATCTAGTTAAAACTTGGACATTGATGAAGGCTATGTGCTAAACCAGAAATTGGGCCCAAATTGCCAGAACTCTGTGCTACACGATCAGAGACAGAAGGGTTTGCATTGCAAACCAGAGATGTTCATTCCTTTTTAATTATTCTTGACAGATCTAACTTATTGTAAGAGGAAGAGGTTTGGGAAAAGGGAGAGCAGTAACAGTGAACCATAAAACAGAATTTAACTCAAGAAACAGCACAAAAACCTCATCAGACCCTTCTCTTTTTTTAGCTGGGAGAAGAAAGTTGTCTCTTTTCACTCCTCCATCTTTGTTCATCCCCTTACTCTTCTGGTTGAGCTGCTTTGATTCAGATTTAGGGCCCCCATTCATTCCAACAAGACGGCTTTTCCGTAAAGCTGTTCCCAAACCCGTGCTATGCTCCTGTTGACAGTATTTCACTGCTTTCCAGAAAAGTAATGGATTTCTCACATACCAGTTTCTAAAGGTCCCTTCTTCAGCAGTGTCCTTCACAGAACAGAATCTTTTATAGTTCTATTAAAGCAGTCGCTCTGACCCAGAGAAGGATATTTTGCCTATCTTGAACTCCGGCACTCATCAGTTTGATTGGAGGCAGGGAAAGCAAAGCTCCCAGCCACAGATTTCTCCCCCAGCCTGTGTTTGTGCTGGGGATTGCTCCCAAATTTCAGTTGTTCATTTAGGTGAACAGTTTTACTAGAACTGCATCCTCCATATGAATCCAATAGGATTTGCTTCTGCTTTCACTTGTAATCCTTAACACAGCATGAGCACTCCCACTGAAGCTACCGCGTTGAAAATAGGAGTTGCTTCTTTCAGGTCTGGCATTTACACGTTTTTATGACATGCAGGAAAAGCACAATTGGACCATTTTCCCCCCGCAAATGTTGAGACAATAATAAGTAACAGATTCATTGAGTTTTGACTTGCCTCAGAACTAGGTGTTTCTGACATGTACCACATCCCTCAAATACATTACACACTCCAATACTCTTATCAAGAACATGAGCTTTCTGCGTTCTCCTCTCCCCATCAACATGCAGCCAGACTTTCCTGACCACCAGTTCAGTTTGACAGCACAGAGAAAGCATCAGGGTGTATGAGCTGTGAACGACCTGTCAGACCCAGTGACTGATGTGCAAAGAAAGTGTCAGGGTACTATAAATATTGAAAACCAAAGAAAATGCTGAGCAAGCAGTGGGGGATTTTAGTTCACTCAACTAAGAGAGCAATCTAAATAACAAATACAGGCTGAAATTCACACACCTCCAGTGAGCTAAAGCCCTGCAGTGACTGTGGTTGACTCAACTTTTGGAGTCGTGAAAAGACACAGATGCGGGTGCGATGCTCTTCTACTCCCCAGTTCAAGTTTCAAGCTGGTTGCTGACTATGGGAACCTCTGCAGCTCCACCTTCTCTAAAGCCTTGGTTTATAGGTTGAGTTGTGCCATCAGTGCCGCATAGGTGGAACCAAGGATTTTCCAACATAAATCTCTCATCTACACTTCCAGCAAAACAAAAGAGCATGCGAGGCTCAAGTTTGGAGCAAGTCTTATACCATCTGGATTCATTTTCTTTCAGTATGATTGCCTTAGAACATTCATTCTAATCATGAATAATACTTCATTGTTTCTAGGAAGTTTCAAAAGGGGAGGGCAGTTTAAAATTATCTGAACTATTCTTGGTGTAAAGCAAGCTCAAAAACATTCTACATGTTTGGAGATCCTCCTTATCAAGAGCCTGTGGGATATGCCTGGTGGGACATGCCTGGTGGGACTCTCTTGAGCCATAGAAGACATGGAGCTTATCTGATGGACCAAAGATATAGGAATAGCCTTGGCTGGTTCATGGATTGCATGCTGGCTGCTCATTTTACCCTGGTGTTTTGTTGTTCTCAACCACTAGAAAACAAGCTGATACAAAATAACTTAGTTGAATCCAAATTAACATCTCATGACAAATGCATGAGACAACCCATTGTGATGGTTCTGAGTAAAATGCTGCCAAAAAGTGAGCGGAGAATGAAAATTGAGATTCATTACATTTCCCAATGAACTTTTGACCAGGAAGATCAATGACTGCATTTTTCTTTGCGGATTTACAGGCCGAATGAATCCCTGGTTTAACCTCTGAACTCAGAGGCTATCATAAAGAGAGGAATTTGGCTACAAGGGTCATGTATGTGCATGCTTTCCAGGCATTACAAGATTGCAGTTGCAGTTATTGAAACCTCGAAGAAAAAGAGGAAAACCCACAAGAGGTCAGAGAGGGAAATGAGACTGAGGAATACTGCTCCCTGACAACTGGGCAGCAACTGATCTGCAAAACAATGACACATGGGAAAGGATGAAGTCCAGAGAAACAAAACACATGTCCCAGAAGAGAACTACCACTGAAACCTATGGTAGTTATCTCCTCCCAGGGTCACTGATGTCCACAGGAACTTAGATTCTGCATTGCCCTCAACCGAAGACCCAGTTGTAGAATCCCAGACTGCCTTGGTTTGGAAAGGACCTAAAAGCTCATCCAGTTCCACCCCTGCCACGGGCAGGGGCACCTTCCACTAGAGCAGGGTGCTCCAAGCCCCTGTGTCCAACCTGGCCTTGAACACTGCCAGGGATGGGGCAGCCACAGCTTCTCTGGGCACCCTGGGCCAGCACCTCAGCACCCTCACAAGGAAGAGCTTCTGCCTAAGAGCTCAGCAACAAATAAAGATCAGGACCTGGAACCCACTTGCAAATATCCAAAGTTCTATTGAATTCAATAGCGCTCAGATGCACACTCACCATACTGTAGCCAAAGGGCAAAGATTTCTGTCCCCAAGAGCTGCAAATGATTTAGAAGCAAAAAAGCCAATCAAAATACCAAATATAACACTAATGAATATTGAAAGCTGGCACTGATTCCACATTCAATGGGCAATGGACTCCAGAATGATTCTTCACCCGCAGTGAATATTGCCTTTCCTTCCCCCTGGCTGGCATTAGTAAAGTAGCAACAGTCTCAGTATCAGATTTTGAGCAATTTGCTACTGCAAATTGTAGCAGCATTTAAAATGAAATTGAGCTGTTTTCTGTGTGTTTGTAAAAAACGAACCCTGATGTAAGTTAAATGGAGGATGCAGGGTTTTGAGGCAAAAATCCCATTCTTCCTAGAGTAAAAGTAGTAATAATAATAGAAAATATGCTAACAATAAGAGCCCTTTGTTAATTTCTGGCTTCTGGGGATGCAGTGACCACAGGTTTGCAACTGTTTGCGCATAGAACTAGTAATTGTCGAACATGCAACTGACTTGCAATGTTCAATTACAGTCGCAGATGGGTATTTGTTTATTCTTCCATAATTGGTGTTACATTAATACTAGCTAGAGGTCTAAACCCCACACGTGGTGCTGTAGAAACATAACAGATGCTGTGTTCCAAGGATCTTCGTTTTAAATTGAGCCTCCTGCTCAACAGCAGGCTAGGAAAGTCCCTGAAGGTACCAGTTGTTTAAGAAAGGAGAAAAGAAAGCAATTTTTATGAATCACATTGACCTTTCTGAGCTGTTTCCTTCTCCAGGGAAATTTCATGCCATTCAGAGGAAGCATTACCATTCGCTTTGAAAGCAGTGGAAGGATTTGCCTCCAGTGTCAGAATGGGGTTTGGTGACACCATAAAGATGGTATTGCCAAACAGGCAGAAAATCTTCCTAGTATGACCCAAAAAGCTACTGAAGTGAATAAAGTTCAGATGTCTTATCAATATAAATGGTCTTTGGACTGTAATTATTGCTTCTATCTTTTAGTCTCTTTCTGAAGGGTCTGGAAGCACCCTACAGCCATCTGTGAAGCCTCCTCACCAGCTTCCATCACCACCAAATTTGCAAGTATATTGGAATTGTGGAGGATGGATCCTCCCATGGGAATACAGTCTGGAATTTGTAGATTAAAACCCAATTTAAATAAAATTAGTATTTATTGTTTAAAGCTGGATGTTGAAAGCAGAGGGTAGAGCTAGAAACAGGAACACTTTAAGCTGAGGCTCTCCTGTAGAGTGAACTCTCAGTGTTTGGTGGGCCACAGAACAACAGACATGGGTTTGTAAGTGTTTCAATGGATTTCCTGGCCAAAAAGCCACTGTCATGAGCAACTGCTCAGCTCTGTGTGTTTGAACAGGAGGGTGTGCTTCCCCACCAGCTAACAACTTGGCCAACAAGATGGAAAAGCATGGATTGTAATTCCTTTCTCACTTGTGTTTCTCACACAGGCACATTGTGGGCAGGTTCCCTGACTATCCTACTGAAGAGGCAGGAGGGTCAATGGCTATTCTTTCTCAGAATACTCCAGAGCAGGTACTGTCACTTCTTTAACGAAGAAGGTTGATGGGACTGGGGAAAGCATTGCCACAAAATAGGTCTGTTTAAGTAACAAGTTTTCGTAACAACAGCCTCCAGTACTCCTGGGTGAGCCAGGCGTGGTGGCTGGTTGCGGGCTTCATGACCTCTGTGGTCCTTAAAGCTGCCCTGTTGAGAGACACAGTTGTGTTCATCTGCTGCCTGCAACCGGTGGTCTAACACAGGCATGGTAAAACAACATTTTGAATTCAGTCTTCTTGGAATCATAGGGGTATACAAGCAGTCTTTGTGTGGTTTAAGCAGATGTAAATACAGACTAGCCCAGCACAAAGCAGGATACTCTAACCGTCAGTTGCCTTGCTTACAAAAATAGGCAGGAAAACTGCTACAAACAGCTCTCTGTGCCTTACTAAAAGTGAGCTCAGGGCATGCTCCTGGTTTTAGCCAAGTTCAGAGCATTCAAAGGTCAACCCTGCAAAGCCTCTAAGCCTTTCTGTTGTTCAGCCCCAGACAGAGCAAAGGAGACCTCCTGGTTATGTTTTCAGCTCCTAAAGTAGAAACACATGCCGGAGTCAACAAGGCTTTGTTGGCTGCTCTGAGCAGCCGGGGAGCCACCCAGCAAGTGTGGCTTATTGCTGGAGAAGCCTTGAGGGAAAGTGATGGTAATCAGACCTGCTACCAACAGGGATAAACACAGTTCGGAGAATGGTAAAAGTTGTACTGAGCACAACTGGATGTGGTGGGAGATGATGGAGAAATGAAGTCCTCCTGTGCTTTGAATTCCCATCTTCAGCTATTTTGCCATCTTTCTTGGGCATTTGCTTTCTCTTTGCATAAAAACATAATAAAGGAAGGCAGAAGTCTGAAGAGATTGTTTTGCTGCCTGTTTTCCCTGCAGGAATGAAAAATACCTGGAAGAAAACTACTACACCTGTTTTCCCAACACATTTTCGTTAGCTATTACCTACTTTTCAAAGGTTTCCTCTTTTTCAGCCAGCACAACCAACAGCAGAATGTACGCAACAACCTGAACAGATACCCAGAATACCACTGGCAAAAGAAAGTTCAGTGAGATCATGATTTTATCTGAATGTCAGACAAGTAAAACAGTTTTTGTTCAACTGAGTCAGCTGCATATTAAAAATCCCTAAGGCAACTGGGTTTGTTCCACACTGGTCTACTGGGCAGCATAGGAAATGAAATCCTGGCCCCATTGAATTTAATGGGAGTTTTGTCCTTGACTTCAGGGGAGACAGGATTTCACCTCTTGTATATATTAGCTTCTATGAATGGGTTGGGTGCTCCTCAGTTAAACTCCATGAAAAATCAAGACTGAGGTGTATTTAAAAAGTGAGCATTTTATAAGGCTTGGGTAAAGACACTTTGGGGAAAATAAAATACAAATTAATCACTTCACGAACCATTGCTGCGTTATTATACATTCTATATTTCTTTATCCTTTGACAACTCTGACCTTACTTGACTTTGTAATGAAGCTGGCCTCCTGCACAAGCTGCTTCCATGACATTTTACAAATACCTTTCCAAAGGGGATGCCAAAGAGTTCCCCATGCAGAGTACTTGGTTTAGTTAGGAAAATATATCCTCTCTCTTGACTGAAGAGAAGCTTCTCTCTACACACTCTTCAAGAGAAATTTAAGGTTCTAAGACATCAGTGTAGTCTCCTGCATCTGTTCCAGGTGTTTGTCCCTAATGGGTTTTCATATTTGCTCCAAAGATAACCATCAGATGTGACAATTTTTAGCTTTGCCTTTATCCTGCTGCCAACAAAATGATGATCTCTTCCTGTAGTTCATTAAGTCTCATCACCCTGAAAATAAGCCAAGAGAGTTGTCATTTATCAGGCACACTCCCCCTCTCCCAACTCCCCCTCATTTCCAATCTTAAATAACTTAGCAGGAAAAGAGATGCTTATGAAGAGTTTGGTTGTACATTTGATTGCGTTGCCACATTATGGTAATCACAGCATCATATCCAGCAGCATCTAGAGAAGCAAGGGGAGGAAAAAGCCCTATGTGTTAACTGCTGTGCAAACACAGACCCCTGATCCTGGCTTGGCACCCTGGGCAATATACTCTGTAATTACTGTTCATTACTACCAACAGCTGAAGATCCCCATGAATCCCTGTAATCAGTAAACGGCAGTGCAAGAGATCCCCAGAAGATGGTTAATATTAGGAACCCTGACTATTCCCAGGTAGGGATGGTAACACACTACTATGCAATCAAATCCTGCAGTAATCACACACTTTTGCACTGCGAAAGTTTGGAAACACATTTGAACCAATGTATGAATAGCAAAGTCAATTTGACTTCTGGGGGTTATCATGTTAGAGCAAAACATCTTTGCAGCCTCAAAAGAAAATGTAACTGGAGAACAGCCATCCCTCAGTAAGAGTCCTACATCAGGGGCTGGGGGGAGGCTAAAATTCATCCTCTCTTACTGAAGCACATGCTCAGTGTTCAGAGTTTTATAAGGGCTTTCAGCATCATTTCAAAAAGAGGCAACCTCGCAAAGAAAAGGGCAGTCTAAAATAATTTAGGAAGACATCTGCTTTTATTTCCACTATGAAGTTTTCTTCAGGGGAGAAAAAAAAAATGGTATTATAATGTGGGTGAATTGCTTAGTATCTCAAACTAACCTTTGCTTGCCCTTCCCTTTCTTTCCTGCTCTTTTGTCAGATTCTTCAGGCATCTTCTTGTAGCTGGAGGGAAAATTGTTCTGTATAGAAGAGTATAAGCCATTCAAGGTTACATACACAGCCAGCTTCACCCCAGCTCTCAGGCCTCTGCAATTATGGAGCTGCTGAGAGCAGAGCTGAAAGCAGAGCTGCAGAAGCTGCACCAAAAGAGCACAGAGAAGGTGTATCTGACACAGAAAAGGAAAGATACATTTGCTGTATCATTCCCTTCTGGGAAGCACAGAGCCACTTCAGAAATTTCAGGCTTCACATGGATGATCTTTAAGGTCCCTTCCAACCCAAATCATAGAACCCTAGACTGGTTTGGGTTGGAAGGGACCTTAAAGCTCATCCAGTCCCAACTACTGCCACAGGCAGGGACACCTTCCACTAGAGCAGGTTGCTCCAAGCCCCTGTGTCCAACCTGGACCTGAACACTGCCATCTCAGACTACGCATATGTTGCCAAAGCATCCAGGGAAAAGACTGTACCAGTGTTATTTGGACACACAAGATCTCTTATTGCAGTCACTGAGCTTGTGTCTAAATGTGGCTTTTTGTGTTCCTGTGCATTTCATTCAGTGCTAATTGTAAGCACCATTTTCCTATTCCCTATATGAGCACTTAGTTCAAGCCTTCGCACCATAGCTTGTATTGCAGCTCTGAAAATACTAAACACATGTTTTTGTCTTGCAGAACAGATGAAGGCAAGACAGAAGGATAAGGATAGTTCAGCCATTAAGTCCCATTATAGCAGGTTCATGAGAACAGAAAATCTACGCAACCCCTTTGCGTATCATTCATCTGTATAAGAACATGAAAGCAAATAATTCCAATCAGAGTCTGGATTTACTTAAATTATATATAGAAAAAAGTTATATATGTTAATTTACATATATATATATACACACTATCACCAGTATTTACTCAAAAACACTGCTTGAAATTAAATTCTTTTCTCAAGCACATATGTGTGTAGAAAACCCACCTTTGAGATACCAGAAACCATTACTGTGACCCTTTGGTAGGGAGTCATAGCAGAGAATGGATGTAATGAGGTTGGATTTCTAGCAGACTACTAGCGCTAGGATAAAGGATACACTTTGAGTAGCTCTGTTGGTTTTGGATACAGCAGGCCTGCTGGGACACTAAAAACCTATTTTGAACTCCAGTCAATCTGTTAATCTATCTGAGGGAATGAAATGCTTCACTGCTTATCACCGCAAGATATGACTGAATGGTGCTCGGGGTTTAAATTACCATATTTAATTAAATGTAAGATACTGAAATGCTTGGGGAAATCCACTAATGAATTTCACTGGCTGCAAAACGTAGCCCTTGTCTTTGTCCCCTTCCACTGCCCAGGCTTCAATGCATTAAAAGGCATTCCTTAGAAAACAAGTACTTTTACTGTTCTAGGAAGCATCTCTTCCAATTGGAAATGTTTCATTTTCTATTCTTTCATGGTACTGCCAATAGTAATGTTCCATTAATAAATTTCAATGACCACAGCATTTCTGATTTATACTCATCAGTAAATGATCCTAGGATTCCTCTCAGGGACAAGAGAGCACAATGAAAGGTGCCTGGGAACAAAAGAATGGTAGGAAAAGCAAATTTCACCCTCTGCCTTTTTCAGATAATAAAGTATAAATGGCCAGGAACTAAAGTTGTGGAAATTGATGTAGCTGTACCCAGTTATCTGCTGGTAGTAGCTTGCAGGGATAAAGATGCTGGGCTATCCATGTATATCTGTCAGAGTCTGTCACAATATCTCTATCCACTCAGCCACCAGAACAGCTTCAGTCTTTAACCATATATTGAAATTAGACATGCCTTGAGGCAAGCTCTCAAAATCCATCTCTATAAAATCAATCTGCCTTGGAAATACTGGGACAAATTAATAATCGGAGTTCCAAGTCCAGAGGGAATGTCAGGTCGTATGTCATTAGAATACTGTGCTCCTGGGTGGTTTCAGGATTTGGTCTTACTCTCCTTTGCAGCTGGGGACATAGAAATCACTTCTTTCCCAATGGGAGATTGGGATAGTCAGCGCCTGTGCTGAAGTGTGCTGGTGGGAGTTCCCTCAGCAAAAATCAGAAGGACTTCTCTGTAATGGTCAACCCCTCTGGAATTCATAGGGGACCGCCAAGCGACATATTGATTGTCATGTTACCACAATATTGGAAAGCTGAAAGTGAAGGAGGAGGATACACACTGGTTCATACCTCCTACAGGACATGCATAACACACTTGACACGTGAAAATACTTGACCAGCTCTTCACATGTTTTCCTGTCTCCTTCAGATTGCTGCAGAACTGGCTGCCAAAATGGAGAAGGCTTTGGAGAAAAAGGACCAGAAGGGCAAAAAAGAAAAAGGAAGAGAGAAAGAAAAATCCAAAGACAAAAAAGATGAGAAAACTGAAAAGAAAGTAAGGGCATCCTGCATTGAGAACAGAACCAAAGTCCAGCCTAGTCAGCCATCTGTAGGCAGACGCTAGTAATTCACATTAGACTCGTCACCAGGGCTTCAGGCCTGGGTTCAGAAGACAGAAGAACTGGCTGAGGCCAGTCCCTCTCAGCCTTTCAGTGACCTTGATGATTCTGGGGAACTGATTTGTACCTGTCCTGTTTTAGGAATGGCCATTGCATGGCATGGCTCAGCTCAAGGGGAAGAGCTGAGTTAGGTGCAAACTGCCAAAGACATAGATGAGGGAAAAATACACATTAGGGCTTTGACATCATTGCCAGGACAGTGTGCACACTCTTTTCACAGCACTGCTGCTTCTTTTTTCATGTATGTAAAAAAAGGCTACGCAGGTAGTTAACCAAACATCACCACTTTCCATGTGGGGTACAGAGAAGTTAATTACTGCCACCCCCAGAGCTGCCAAAAGCATGACAAGAACATAGCACTGCACCAATATTGTTCTTCAACACCTTTCTCAAATGGGACACCCATTCTGCTGGAGTGCAAAGCTTAGTCTCAGATTGGCTCTCCACCTCAGAGCTTGTATGGATTTCAATCTTATCTATAAGTACAGTTCTTACATGGCCAGCTGTGTCTTTTGTACTGCAAGCTCACGTTTTATAAGCCTGTAAATAGCAGTCATGCATTTTCAGTCCACGTTTTTAGGACATGAATTATCTTTTGCTGTAAGTCACAGTGGACACCACTTAAAGAAGGATATACTCCCCAAAGTCTTCTATGTACTAAGGGCTGGTTTCACAGAAGGTATGCTTCTGAATTGTTTTGGGAGTAACTTCACTGAGGAAAGCACCTGTGAAACAGTGCAGTGACCAAAGGGCATCTTCAAAAGTAAACTATGCAACAAGAATTGTAGGATTTTGCTGAAGCAGCAACTTTTGTTTCCCATCTACTTTATTGCATAAACAAAGTAGAAGCAATATTTTATGGGGGTTTATTAATAAGGGTCATTAATCTGTCTGGGAGTGTGTGGAGGAGAAGGGTGAGTTTTGTGGGGCAAAGCTGATTCCTCACTACAAATTTTACACAGATTCATTGTAAGTCCTAGCCCTAGAATAACCATTTAACAAGAAAAGATGCTTTTCTTGGACAACAGCCATTAATCTGGCCAAAGCTCTCATAACAGCTAGCCAGGAATGCTAAACTACGTGAACTTAGGAAGCCTCAGTCTGTCTAATTGGGAGGTAGAAATCCAAGTGTTAACTTGCAGCTCAGCATCTTTGCTGGTTGCAAATGCTATTTGGGCCATATAAAACTATGTTTGGGGTTTTGGGGTTGGGGTTTTCTCCCTTTTAGAAAAGAAAAGGGACAGCAGGCTGAAGGAGCCATGTACATAAATGTGTTTCCAAGCTCTTTAAGCCTGATCTGGCATTGCTAACTAGGAAGGGTGGGTGGTGGCTGCTCCTATGCAAACAAGATATTTTTTAGGCTCTGGTCACACATGTCTTCAGTCATTTGTCATCAGGGTGACACTGTCACTGAGTGCACTATCACAGCATTAGTGAAGGCATCATACTCCAAGCAGTGGAAGGTAAAATTACTGGTACCACTTCATTGTGCCCTAGTGGCAGAGCAGAGCCAACCTGTGGGAGAAAGGAGTATAAGACCTGCAGACCTAAGCCAAATAATACTGATGCCAAACTGTTTGTTGTCAGTAAGACTTCTGGTGACTTGTACTAGTGCCACTTCAAGGTGTAAGCCCTTAAGTCAATGTATACACTGCAGAACTTTATGGGAAAGCTCAGATAAAAGGGTATATAAGAAGGTAATAGCTTAGAAAAGCTTTTGAAACTGGAGTTTAAAGACCCTTGTAATACACAGTTACAGAACTCCAGTATCTCAGAGAGCCCATTTCCCTTTGGAAGCATTCATGAGGGTGTCCTCTAATGGATTTCTGCAGCTTTGTCCTTGTCCTTGCTCCTTCCCAACTCAGCTGGCCCAGAACAAACCCCTATGATGCCTCTGGTCTTGCAGAGGCGATGAAAAAGGCTGTTGCAGACAGTTGAGTAGGTCAAAATGAGACATTAATGTTCAGGCACACTGAAAATGTCAGACCCAACCCAAGCTTCTGAAACCAGATGGCAACTCACTCATCAGCTTAAAAAACTGTCAGAGAGTAAATTTGATTCTTTGTTGGGTTTGCACATGTCAGTGGATAAGAACCAGCGATACCAGAAACTAATCTCAATCCCCTCACAGTTGTTTTGGAATGGGGTGAAATAACAATATAGAGCTCTGGGGCTTTATAACTTCATGTCGTTCTCCTCTCTTTAGCCATCACAAGTCCTGTCTAGTAAAATTCTGAGCCATTATATCAGGCTCTCTATGGTTCATTGAGAAAGAACAAAGGGAACATTCTCTCCAAGGTTATAATTCTGACAGGGGTGGAGGGCAATAGTATCTAAGACCAGTTGAGAAAAGTTCTAGCAGCAGGACACTTATTAAAATAAGTATAGGCTAGAAATCACAGTGATGCAGGCAGAAAAAAGCCTGACTTGTAACTTCAGTTCTTAAAGAAAACAAAAGTTTGGTCCCAGAAGGAAACCTGAATATTTCTGAAAGGCTTGATAGCAATCTCTTAAGAAGCAGATTTGATATCAAAGTAACTCTGTTTGCTTTTCTCTGTAAGGTGCTGATTTGATTTCCCATTGGGCACCTAAGCAAAGAAGAAAACACCACCACACACACAAAGAAGGAAAACAAACAAAACCCACAGCTTCAGCACCATATGATCCCTCTTTTCAATAGCAGAGCACATGTTAGACAAGTCTGTCCTGCTTCACCCTAACATGCTGCAACCTGTCTTCCTCATTGAACATGAGGAAGGCTGCACATCCAGATTCATCCAGAAATGTTTAAGTGAGACATACTTTGTTCTTAGTGAAAATCATTAGCAAAATCTCCACACTAAAAGTGCACAATGGAGTCGAAAATTTCCCTGTTGTTGAATAAGAACCACCTAGCATGGGATAGGCTTTGGAAAGCTGCAGAAACATGGTCAGACTTATTTCCCTATCTCTGCTTAGACTGAAATGTACACTGTTGGTTCAAGGTGCCTTAGAGCCCTTAACACAGGACAAGCATGGGATCAATCAACTTAACATAACAAAATACACAAGCTGACTCAAAAGAAAATAAGTTTGAGTCCAGAGGTGGCCACAAAGATGCTGCGAGGGCTGGAGCAGCTCTGCTCTGGAGCCAGGCTGAGAGAGCTGGGCTGGTTCAGCCTGGAGAAGAGAAGGCTCCTTAAGGGGAGACCTTAGAGCAGCCCCAGTGCCTAAAGGGGATACAGGAAACCTGGAGAGGGGCTTTGGACAAGGGCCTGTAGGGGCAGGACTATTCTATGGTTCTACGGAACGATGTTGTCTTATTGCTCACGTTAAAACAAATATTTAAAAGTCTAACTAAAATTATCACACTTTCATACTTGCAAGGTTTCTAATATATAAATATGCTGACTTTTCACCACCTGTCCACTTCCCCCATCTAGGAAAAGGATGAAGGCTGGAAAATGGCTCCGAGTAATTTCCTTTCAATAATGGAGGAAGGAAACAGTCAATACAAAGGTCAGTAGAAAAAGATAACAATTACAGCTGGAATGTTCTTCTAATTCAACTTAATTTGAATGTCATTCTTATAAGGTCAAGCTGGGCAGCTGCCCAAACTACTGGAACATTACAGAAATGAGGACATTAGATCGGAAGGTATTTAGGAAAGGAGCCTGTCAGTACCTCAAGTCTTCTTAGGAGTCTCTCAAAATCATTGATCTAATGATACAGAAAGGTACATTTCTATGAGTAAAAGTAACCAAACTAGAAGCAAAGTGCTGTAATGTTTGTGCAAGGGCTTTTCTGAGGGCAACAAAAGTGACATCTGAAATAATTCCAAAGCATTACTGAAAATGAAGCCTCAGCATTAATGTCTTCATGCTCCTGTAACTCTGCCTTCCTCTGTCCATGAATTCATTCACCTACACGCAGTACAGCTACCTAAACATCACTGGAGTTCATGAAGACTACTATTCCTCTAGACCTGTACTGGGCAGTTTTACAAGCTGCTGAACTGCATTTGCCAGGCTCAAGCTAAAACACTTATATTGTTGGAAACAGTTGTGTGACACCTACTTTCACACTGGAACAGCAAGAGTTTAAGTGGAGCAAGTCTAAAGCAGCCGAAATCATTACCTCCATCTTCCTGGGGTTTATTTTTGAAGTACCTTGTGCTATGAGGCAGCAAGATGCTATTTCCCCCATTACACAGCTGCCCAGTTGATACTTAGGACTTGCTCAGTGTTGCAGAGGATAGTTGAGTTCAACCCAAATACTCTATGGCCCAAACTCTGAAGTGTAGTGATATTACATATTTCTAATCGGGCACCACAAGATTCAAATCCTTTTGCCAGGAGGTTGGAAGTGGCCTTTTTAAGAAGAGTTTCACGCTTCAGGTACATTTATTTCCATGAACAGTCACAAGCTGTTACCTGAAATTCAGGGATATTGGAATTAGCTACTGCTCTGTAGAGTGAACGCTAATGCGGCTGAGATGGCCATGGTTAGCAGTCACATTAGTGCACTGGGCTGGCTTTGAGTCCTGAGCTAGAGGTATGCATATGAAATAATCCACAGAGAAGCACACATGCTATTTTAGAAGAGGTCATATAAATTGCATTGCATACACACACGCATGCAATAAATAGCTCCTGTAGCTGGATGACCCTGTCTGTAGCAGAATACCAGGCTCTGCTGACCAGCCAGTGCAAACACAACATCCTCAGCCTCCTGGCCTCACTTTAAACTAAATCTTAAAGCATTCTGTTGGTCTATAAAAGAACAACACAGAATCTAACACTTAGGAGTTATTGATCGCTTCTTTTTAAGTGAAGGGCCTCTAACCTAGTGGCTAATATAGGACTTGGAAAATTCACTGCCAGGTAATGTCAGAGGCAGCTGCCTAACCTGTGGGGATGTCACTGGTTTGCCTGCAGTGGATATTAACCACTCATCAAGTCACAAACTGCAATAAACAATTAAGATTAAAAAGATCCCAAGGAACAAGAATCTATGGATCCTTTTAAACCCAGTACCTCTGTGAAACAGCACGTGGTGACCCAGTCAGAAAAGTGTTTAAAACCTCATATAACTCCCATGTAACATCCCCTTTCCCCAAGGCTGAAATTCCAGCCTGGAAGAGGTACCTTTTAACTAGGGCAAATCAGCTTTCCCTCTTAACATCCTACATGACATCTGTTATGCCATCTGATGACCTGCAAGTAATGTAAAGAATTTAATGTCTATACCTCTGAGTTTCTTTCCTCATTATCAAAGAAAATGCACCATCCTTCTCCATCTCTACCCTTTTCACTTGTGAAACTCAGAATACTCTCCTGCAAAAACTATTCCCTATGTGTGAAGTCACAAATACCCTGCACATAATTGGACTCTGAAAATTTATAGGGAGTAGAAATAGCAGCTAGTGTTATAATAACTGGGCTTAAACTTGAATGGTCTCCTATGGGTACTGTGAAAACCTTCCTGAATTTACAGTGCCTTAGAAATGACAGTGGGTAGAGAGAAGAGTACCTTCAACAGAACAGATTCATAAAGGAGCCTATGTTTTCAAGTGTAATTCTTAATCATCTGGAAATCGAATTAGCACATGCTGCTGGAGATTAGCTGTCATTTATAAAGATACTATCAGGACTTAAAATACAAGGAAATACAAGGTATGAATTGTCTTCCTTTAAATTACCTCCAAAAACACAGAAGACGTTTCCGTTAAAAAGGCACCTTTTGCTATTAGTGGAGAATTCAGACATGCACCAAGCTTGCCAGACATCATTTAGTTTTCTTTCTAAAGAGCAAGTTGCAATTTGTCTCCATAAAAGTAAAGTTATGGGCTTTGGGTGGTCATCATCAGTTTGCACAAGCTTCCTTTGTTAGGTCTCCTGATTACTTTCCTTTACAGAACACTAAGAAATAGAGGTGCTCTATCAGGTGGGTCTTGTCTCTCTTAGGGAAAGACTTCATCTGCCTCTCAATTACTGCATCAAGATTTAAGCTCCCCAAAGGCAAAACTTTCTCTGTGTTAGGAAGGACCTTAAGGCTCACCCAGTTCCAACCCCCTGCTGCCACAGGCAGGGACACCTTCCACTAGAGCAGGTTGCTCCAACCCCCTGTCTCCAATCTGGCCTTGAACACTGCCAGGGATGGGGCAGCCACAGCTTCTCTGGGCACCCTGTGCCAGCGCCTCAGCACCCTCACAGGGAAGAGCTTCTGCCTAAGAGCTCATCTCAATCTCCCCTCTTTTAGCTTAAAGCTTAAGCCTACTCCTTGATCCTGGACCATATTTCAGCCTCATGTGAATTACTACAAAGGCTAACTCACAAGGTCGCCTCAGTTTTAACTTAGCATTAGATAACTCGGCAACAGAGAACAGGGAAACTTCCTGGTTTAAATTAAACACCTTCCTTTGGTCTCCAAGCCTGCATTATACCAGCAAAGAGACATGCACAGAGAGCACACTCCTCAGGACAGGAGTCATTTTTGACTCTTCATGGTAAAAAAAAAAAAAAGCACTATGCTATTAAACAGAGAGAAGAATGCCAGCTTTGGGCACAATATGCTTTGGTCAATGCTGTGGTATCTGCTTTTGAAGGTGAACAACACTCCAGGTATTCAGCTTCTCAACCTCCAAATGACAGCCTCTATATCCCATTATCCTCCTGAAGTCTGATAGCAATTTACAGCCCAAGGCAAGGAAAAAAGTTACCCTCAAGACTTACAGATCCTAACAAAACAGGTCTCTGCACTTGGGAAGGGTCCCTAGAGCCTGCTACTTTCATACAGCTAGTAATTTGATAGAAGCTGCTGACAAGTACCTATTTCTTGCGCCCAGCAGCAGTTGGAGAAACCAATGGCTTTTGTAACTTTCTTCTCCTTTTTTCTTCCTTTTGGATAACAGCCGTTTGGCAGAACAGAGACGAGGGATGGGATTTTCTCCAGGATCACGACCCGGAGCTGATGAAAGAAGAGAAACGGGAAGAAGTGGAGAAGGAGATCAGAGTGCAGGTGTGCTTACAATAGTCCAAGGACACTAATAATGTGCACTGCCTGTGTATCTCTCTCTACAGCTGTAAGAACTGGCCCTGGCATAGACCTTAGCTCCTTCCAGAGCCCCTGCTATCTGTTCTTTGCTTTAATGCTTGTTTAGCTGAACATTTGACTGAGGTGCGGTGGCACAACAGCAGACCTAGGTTAAACTCTGTCTGTCTGATAGGTTGATGCATTGATGCGGCACAAACTGGAGAATCTCAAGCTGGCTGTGGATGGAGAGAAGAGTTCCAAAGCCAAGAAAGGGAAAAAGAGTGATAAGGTAAGGGCAGAAAGTTGGGAGAATTCAGAGTCTATCTCAATTCTCCACCCTGTATTCAGTGCAAACCCCAGTCTCACAGATACCAATGTCGAAATACACACCCTAAACAAACATTCACTGAATCTCAAGTCAGAACCATTTAAAAGTCTTTTTCCTTTAGCCATTATTATTCCTTAACCTTTATAAACATGCATAGGACAAACTGAACTGTTCCAGAGATAAATCATTGCAAAATAGATCTGATTTTCAAGAGGGATACACACCCTGTTGAAATCCTGTAATGCAGTCAAACAGGAAAATCCAAGCAATCCCTCTCTTGGAGGTGACATGTTCAGATTAATACAGTTTTCCAAGGAAGGCGCAGATCTGGGTGCCAGGAATTTTTCCAGCTGCTGGACTGGTTAACATACAGCAAAATAATGCACTTTGAATGCTTTGGTGTAACCTTTCATTTATCCATACAACACATAGACCACCTACAGCAGGTACACGTTAATTATGTTACTGTTTACTATTGAAGGGTTTGGAAACTTACAATTAAGCCAATTAAATATAATGTAGATCTTTAACCTGTTTTATGAGTTACCCACTGGAACACAGCACGTCATGTTCACATCTATACACAGAATTCCACAGCTTGTGGTTCCCTAAATTCCTTACCCAAGCATTTAAACTATAGATCATGTCAGTGCAAAATAACTCAAAGCTTACAGACCCCACCATTCAATCAGCAGATGCACTTCAAATACTCAGGGCAAATAGCCAACCCTAATCTCATGTTGTATTTCATTTCTATAATCCTTTTAGCAAGCAAATACTTGCTGTTGCTGTACTTCTGCTCAAATTATCTCTAAAAATGCTCTTTCATCTGACAGGGGCAATTTAATAACACAAAACTGAAGCAGCTCTGAAAGCTGATACCAACTGGGTTGCTGAATCCCTTTCAAAAATAGGGAGGCTGAAGATACACAGACAAAACATTACAACCATCTTCCCAAAGTCATCATGGGCAGATGCATTTAGATCAGCTAAACTCTGCCTCAGAATGTCACACTAGAGTTATCAAGTGTTATGTTTGGAGCTGTTTGGGGTTTTTTGAACTTTCAAGATAGGATTGGAATAGTTTGGGTGGAGGGAGGTTATTTAACTCTTGTTCTCCCAGCTTATCCCAGTAGCCTGAGAGAACAAGGTGGGAAAAGAGGGGGGGAAAAGTACTAATTGAGTAATAGAAGTTCCCTAAAGGCTTAATCGGGGGGGGACGGGGGGGACGGGGACGGGACGGGGGGGGACGGGACGGGGGGGACAGGGGGGACGGGGGGGAAGGGACGACACACGACACAGATGCAACCAAACAATTGCCTGGGGTGGGGAATGTAAGGAGGTATGAGATTTTAGTCAAAAAACATCTTCCTTGTGCAGAACCATTTGAATTTGGCATTGGCAAAGGCTTTTTTTTCTAATTAGTATTTGCAGAAATACCCCAGTCCGTAAACCAGTGCATACATCTGCACAGCCTTCAGATCTGCTGTATGAAAATTTGGCCTCTATAACCAGAATCATATGAGCTGGAAAGGTTTAGAAGCAGGTTATTCATTTGTTATTCAGCAAAAATCCTCTAGGCTTTCAAGGCATGTGTTACCCATACCTCTCCCCTCAAATATGAGTGCAAGTAACAGTGGGTTTGAGTTCTCATTGTAGCCATGAACATGTCTGAAGCACAATGTAAAAGCATTCTCAGGAGGATTCAACATTCTTCAGATAAATCAAACCTTTTCTGCACTGTCAGTAGGGAATGGGCAGCAAGGGTCGTTTCTTAAAGTGAACTCTCATAACTGGAATTTTCTGTCTACGGACAGTTACCCCAGATACCCAATGCTGCATTTGGCCATGCCCTGTGTGCTAAGGAGGGATTTCTTCTCCTTTCTTTGCAGGAAGACACCACAGTAGAACTCAAGTGCTTTTTGTTGGCAGGGAACACTCTATTGGACACCTTCCACTAGAGCAGGTTGCTCCAAGCCCCTGTGTCCAACCTGGCCTTGAACACTGCCAGGGATGGGGCAGCCACAGCTTCTCTGGGCACCCTGTGCCAGTGCCTCAGTACCCTCACAGAGAAGAACTTCTGCCTTCTATCCAATCTGAAGAGAAGGTCTGAGTCCCCAGCCAGCCTAGAGGAGCCCGTTATAAAAGCACCTTTAGGTGAAAGAGAGAGGTCTAGCATCTGCCAAAGTGTTTGATGTCTAAAAAGTTGGTGGCATCCTCATCTCAGTGCAGTCTTTTTACTGACATGTTATTCTGAGTCCTTCCCTTTCTGCTGACAGCCCCAGCTCAGCACAACCCACCAGCTTTACAACTATTTCATCTAGATGGATGCCATGTACCACCACCATAGTGCACATAGGATTTAGCAGCCAATGGTGCTTCCCTTGAGAATCTGCAGTGAAGTAAACCACAACAGACCTAGCTTCCCTTGGGAAGTGGTGCTTCCCTTGGGAATCTGCAGCAAAGTGAACCATAACAGACCTAGCTTCTTTAGGCTGGGTTTCCACCCAACATCAGAGCTGACAGATAAGCTCTCTGCAGTTACTGACCTGGAAGTTATGTTTAAGTGCTTATCAGAGTGCTTTTTATTAAGCCCATTGTGCTGCTTTTCCTGCTCTGCTCCCCCAAGGATTTGTTTCCATCCAAGTGCAGGTAAAGCATCCCATTGCAACTGAGTACACCCACACATACACAAAGGCATACTCAGCACTGGGGGAGAAAAACAGAAAGAGGGGACATAGGAACCTAAGCATGTAAATAGGCCTTGGTAGCATCTCAGTGCAGCTTTGGATATCAATGATGCAGTTGGGCAGAAGCAAAGAAAACCACAAAAGCAAAGCAATGACAAGAATATCAACCTTAGTATAAAGACCTGATAAGAGCAAAGCCATAATGAATAAGGCCCAAAGACAGGCTGGGTCAAAAATGAGGAAAGGCTGGATTTGAGGGCAGTGACTCAGAACTGCTGTTGGATCTTCTGTATCTGATGGAGATTAGTATCCACAGCTCTCAGCCAACTGTAAGAGCTGTAACTTCTTTGGATGCTGTAGCTAAATCCAACAGGGATCACAGCTCAGAGCCCCCCACTTAGTGAGAGCTTAATAATTAGTGCGAACATAGAATCATAGAATGGTCTGGGTTGGAAAGGACCTAATGATCACCCACTTCCAACCCCCTGCCACAGGCAGGGAAACAGTCCACTAGACCAGGCTGCTCCAAGTCCCATCCAACCTGGATGGAGCATTCACAACCTTCTTGGGCAACCTGTTCCAACATCTTTGTCCCAGGACTTTTTCTGTAGAATTATCAGAAGCTGCTGTCTCTATCTTGGCATCGCAGGAAAGACTTAAACCAAAGCAGGTGCATGCACAAGCACCACACATGATCCAAGGAATCCACTCACTTCACACACTGCTGCTTACACACTACCATTTCCCTAAAGCCACAGAAGTGCTTTTTTCTTGGTACCTTCCCACAGACCTGGTGGCAGCAGGACTCAGATCACCACAGCCAAAGGGTGACACAGATCCTGCAGTTCCAACATGGAACAGTTCCCTCAATGAGACATTTTGGGTACTCTGTGCCTTCTGGTGCCAGAGACACTGCTCTGGAGTCCAGTCTGAAATGAGGTCCGTGTTTGCTCATAGCAGCCTCTGAGCTATTCAAACCATTTTCATGAGCCCACCCAGTAGGACGAGATACTACACTGAGCACAGAAGTCGGTCTGCTGTCATCTGCCAACTAATAGCTAATACAGTTCACTACATGTGACTTACCAAAGCAGAAAATAACCAAGTGAATGGATGGCTACACAGAAGCAAGGCTGACATTTCGGAGACAGAAACAAGGAGATTTCCATTATAAATGATGAACGTGTTCACATTCATTAAACATTATCATTTTCTAAATAAAAGCCTTTCCCAATAAGGCATTTTGGGGGAAAGCCATTGTCTACAATTCAGAGTTCCCCTTATGGCATCTCAGTGTTTGCCAAATTCCCCATAAATGCCGTTTATGTTAATTAGGAAAACACATTTTCCCCCTGCATAGTTCATTTTTGTGTTGCTCTTGAGTTACTTTATTGGTGAAGCTGCCTTGAGGACAATACCAGTTGGCCAATAAATTCAGCATATGCTTAGTGCCTTTACATAGGTAGAAATGAGCTTTTCTTCCCAGGCAGACCCTACGATATGTAATTTCTAGCTTGTTGGGAGAAAGCTAAAAGGACAAAGCTGGAGAACAGCAGAAATAAACAGCTGACAGTCTATTTCCTCAGTTGTTAAACCAGCATGGCATATGCTTTGTTCTTCCCATTCCTTTGCTGCAAAACAAAGCCCCACTGGCACACTCTAATGAGTATTTGCTGCCAAGCTTATTTATGTAGAGAAACCTGAGGTGTAGTTCTGCAGATAGGGTTGTTGGCTTTATTCCCATACAAAACATAAGAACATCGCTTTTTCCGTGTTAGCTTATCCATATAGTTCTGGGGTTAGTTTATCTTTTCATCCAGATGATGTCTGTTGCATTGCAAACAGTAACAGCCACTGACCCATTCACATTGTGATGTCCTTGGAAACGTACAATTCATGTATTTGTGAACACTGCTTATCCATCCTAGGAAGACAAACACAAAAGAAACCAACACCAAAACCCCCCAGCATTTTCTATAGGATTCTTTAACTCAACAACACAGCCTCTAGAGCTCTGCAGAGCTTAAATGTAAGCCATGGAAGAAATCCCATGGTGCACAAATACTGCTGTGTAAATAGTTCCAATGAAGTAATTCTAAAGTGCTTTGCAGAACTGAACAGTGGACACGAGTGGTGGGCACTAACATGGATTAATAATGTCCTCTCCACAACTAATTATCCCTAACTGTGTTTATGGCTTGTGAGCTTTAATTAATGGAGGGGCTTGTCATTACTGATTCACATCTTTCTTATTTCTGTTTTCCATGGGCTTTTTGCAGTTGGTAGAGAAGTGAGACACAAGTCAGAATCTTACCATAGGTTAAGCATGCTGAAATTATCAGATAGTAAGTAATATATTCAGATAGATGTAATAATCAGATAGATATAGATAGGAACATCTCCTATGCTCTTATAAACGGGGATATGACTTCCTTTCCCTTCAGGCATTCAAGGATATCATTTTTCCCTTTGGGTTCCTTCAGTGACAAGGGCCACATTCAAACACAAGCATTTGCTGTTCTGACTCTCCCTCTTCCTCAATAAATTCAAAACCACGTCTCTGTGCTAAGGTCACTAATGCCTGTCTGTTTTTGTGGTCCTCAGAAGAAAACAACCACAAGGAAGAAGATATCTGAGCTGGAAGAAGATCTAACTCCTGACAGGTAAAGAGAGGACCTGTTTACCTGAGATTGAGTGCATCCTTTTTGCATTAGATATACTATCAACCCATTTAGTTTCTAATTACACCAAGTGCATCTCAACACTACTATGCTTACCAGCATCAGGAACTCTATGGTACATAAAACCTCTTTACTAACAGTTATAAATATGCATAAAAAGCCTAGATGGTAAAAACCCCACTTTTACAAACACATATGCTTTACCTAAAACCTTTTTTGCATTCCCAGTGAACACAGCAACCTACACACAGCCCCTTCCTGACCAATGGCTTTATAGCACAACACATAACAGGCCAACAGAACACTGCTTTCATGCTCCATAGCACAGATCCTTGTTTTCCCCAACTTCAACAATGCACACAGATTAAGATCCCCCTTCTGCAACACCACACCACTAGGTCCAGTCACCATCAGCTTCAGTCAAGTTAATTCCAGTATGCAAAGGTGAGCACATGCAGCATTTAGGTGGGATATAGGCCCCATTTGCCTGTTTCCCATCATCTCTGCAGGTGCAGAAGCACAGAGCAAACCTGTTGAGTGTCAGATTTTCCATTCCAGCTGAAACCTGATAAGGCAGGCTGTAGACAGGCCCCTGTACTCCATAAATCACCCTTCATGTACATAACATAAATCTTACTTATTATAGAATCATAGGATGGTTTCGGTTGGAAGGGACCTGTCCTGGGTTCAGCAGTAGCAGTCATTTTTCTCCTTCTTGGTAGCTGGTGCAGTGCAGTGTTTTGACTTTCAGCTCAGTTACCTGACTGGGTTTAAACCACGACAGGACCTTAAAGCTCATCCAGTTCCAACCCCCTGCCACAGTCAGGGACACCTTCCACTAGAGCAGGTTGCTCCAAGCCCCTGTGTCCAACCTGGCCTTGAACACTGCCAGGGATGGGGCAGCCACAGCTTCTCTGGGCATCCTGTGCCAGCGCCTCAGCACCCTCACAGGGAAGAGCTTCTGCCTAAGAGCTCATCTCGGTCACCCCTGTTCTGGCAGGTTAAAGCCATTCCCCTTGTCCTGTCCCTACAGGTCCTTGTCCAAAGCCCCTCTCCAGGTTTCCTGTAGCCCCTTTAGGCACTGGAGATGCTCCCAGAGCAACTCCCTTAAGAAGCGTTCTTTTCTCCAGGCTAAAGCAGCCCAGATCTCCCAGACTCATCAGTAAGAGTTAGAGTAGAATCATAGAATAGTTCAGGTTAAGATCATCTAGTTCCAATCCCCTGCCAGAGTTTTGGCAGACCTGGCAATTCCTTGTGCACCTTTGCTTTTTCAAGCATCCTTATTTTATTTGAAGGATTTGAGTGTATTTTTTTTTCTGTGACACTCCATTTTCAGTGATGTGCATTTCAGTGTGATGTATTCACTGACAATCCGCTATTCTTCACCTGTACACATAACACAAACACAGAGATAGCACCACTGGGACCTGCTGACCCAGCAGCAGTGCACAGCAGAAGCAGACCCAGATCCCAAGAGAGCAGCATTAAGACAAACACCCTCAATCACTGCAGGGGGAAGCACACAGGATTCACTCCATGAATCCATTTTTACAGGACATGCTCAGCAAGACCTGGACTAGATCATTTAGGGGGCTGGTGCTACACAGCCAGTGATCTCTCTACCTACTTGAAAATAAAGAACCTCTCCAAGCAAATATTTAATGTGTCATAGATCATAACAGAGCATGACCTCTACTACAAAAACAGCACCAAAGTCTAACAAGGACATGTATATTCTGTGCTTATAAAACCACTCTTGCACGTACCTGCTTCTTTACATATAAACTTAATACAACACACAGCCTTTTAAGAACACAAACTTTGTAGTAGTGGCTTTAAATCAGAGTTTATCTGTCATTTTGGCTCCATGCGCTGCTCTTCCCTGCTGAGCAGGGAAGGAGGAAGCATTACAGCAATAACCAAGAGAAGCTGAGGTTCAGCTTGGTTTTGGCATGGAGAACAGGGCGCAAGGGGCTTCAGTCAACAAAGACTGATCACATCACACTTACTTGGAGGAGGCTCAGGGCATGCATCATTAAGCTTGCACAGTAAAAATAATAAGACAGGAAAAGTAGAAGTCACTCTCCCAACAGAAGTGTCAGGTTAGTCCCACTCTACCTTCTGCTCGCTTTATGATGCATGCTCAACATAAATCACTGAGAATAAGAGTCAGAGAGGCAAAAATCAATGCTGTTGAAGGTGAGTTCCAATTTGTATTTGCTTATTACTGCTCCTATACTAATTGTGCCACTAACACTGCATAAACATGAAACTTACCAGCTGAAGAAGGCCACGGACCTCAAATTAGGTATATTTTATTAGCCAGCTGAGAGTCCCTACTGAATATTTTTATTGCAGCCATACCAGAACATCCCAATTAAGATAGATGACTAAGGCAAAAAAAGGGAAGAGGATGTGCAAAGTGCATAGTGGAAGACCTATAAAGGTTCAAGTAAGTAGTGCTTATGCTAACAATACAAGAGTTTCCACCAGGCTTATTCATTTTATATCATCCTTGAAGCAGTATCCATCTGTAGAACCTAGTGCCAAAAACATCACTCAATTCAATACCTAGGTAGAACTCCGAGAGAGTGTGTGGAGAGCATTCACATCTATAGACAACCAGGAACAAGTGTAGCTGTATTAAAACCTCAATTAGTGGGAGTTATTTCCAGCTACTAATGGCGTTAGGAAAAAACTGCTCCACTGGAGAAGTTGTGCCTATTTCCAGTGTATGTTTTCCCGCTGATCCTCCTCTGGCTACCATGATCCTGACACTGCAGTAGGTAGACCACTGGTTGTTCTGATCAAGTCATTCACATCATGTTGCTGACAAGGTGAGACTGTCTATTGCAAACAGAATAAATTCCAAGAAGAATTAATGAATTACTACTAATTGAAGAGCTAAGTGAAGAGCTGTAGTAGTGCTAGGATTGCCATTACTGTATCATTTAAAAATAATCTGCCAGTAATTGATATTAATGAACAAGCCTATTACACAAGTCATAACTGATACTGCATCACCTGGAAATGGGCAATGGAATTGGTATGAGAGGGAGAGGGTGCCATGTGGTGTGTGAGGCAGGGAGAGATCTCTTGCCATAATGCAGAAAGCTGTACTTACTGGTTTCATATTAATGGCACTAATCACCTTTACCTCTGAGCCACAGAATGCATTTATAAAGCTGAGGAAACATAACTCTCAAGCTAGTTCAGTTACTGAAGGCCTGAGCTTTTACTGACAGCGCCCTGGGATTTCTGAGTGATGTCTCTTGTCCATAGGACCATCGATTCTCTGTATAAGGAACTGGTGGAAGAAGGATTGCTGATAAAAGCCAAGACCGTGAATCTCTCAGATTATGTTGGTAAAGTACATATATTACAACTAATATGGTGTTTAATCCTACCAAACCTCCAGCCATTCAGTGTTCACTGGCCCCTATTTCCAGTCAAGGGGGAGTTCAAGAGTAATTACACTTCCAGGACTTTCAAACTTGAATATCTATGCAAAGCAAACCTGCTTCTGCAGGGTGCCTGTTACCTTCCACTTCTGCTAGTGAAACCAAGGGCCTCTTAGGAAAGCTGATGCTTAGCTCCAAGCACTAACACCTGGAAGCCTTGAATGGCTTTGTCTGTCACAAGCCACTCTGAGGTGGAGCCAGGATATCCTTTCGGCAGCACTGGCCAGGCACTGGCCTTCAGTATGAGTCTGTTGAGCAGAGAAGACTCACCCTCTTACCTTTACCTCCCTGCCTGCCCACCAACTTCGAGCAGTGCTCTGAGGCATATCTGGCCCTTGATTTAAGATGTGCCTCTGCCTAGTTCTGCAGTTCACAGACCTCTTGCCCAGTTTCTGTTACCTGCAGCTGCAGTCAGACATGCTTGCCTATGCTTTACACAGGAGGTGGAACCAAACCACTCTGTTGAAGGCTGAATTAACAAGTATTCTGCCCATTTTATGCTCATTAAAAGATCATGAAACAAAATAAGGGAAATTTTCCATCATTCCGTTGCTCACCCAACCAGGCTGCATTTGTCTAACAAACATTCCCTGCCAGGGATGTTTTTAAAGCACATCTTGGCCAGTGGATAATGATTAACAGATGGTAACATCAAACTTGGAAATAGGCTGAGGTAGCTTTGGGCTATCTTCCCTTGACCCTGAGGTTTGAAGCTGTGGCTCTTCTGCAGTCCTCAACTGCTCAGCTCTTACAGGGCTGAAGCCTAAGGAAGGTCACTTCCATCCCAGTTCCTGGCAAAGGGACAGAGTGGAATTGTGCTACACAGCAAGTAAAGGCACTGAAATGTCCCCCCCCCTATGACAAACCGACATCACTGAACTAATTTTCTTGGTGACCTTATCTAAATTAGTCAGCGAGTATCCACCATGATTTATGTTCAGTTGCAATTAAACCCTTTGATGCCTTCTAATTAAATCTGTGAAGATTAATTCCTATCCGGGTCTTTTGATTTCTCCTTAAATAAAAGATAAAACCTGAAATGAATTTTGTTCTTCAGAGGGGAGGGGGCAGTTGCACCAGGGCTTGTCTGCCTTTTGGCCCCCAAATTACAACTCCCCTTTCTCTCTTAACCATTGCTAACATACCCCTGCCCAAAAAAGCTCCAGTGCTCTCCATTTTTCATTCCAATAAAACACAATTTTTTGAGATATTCACCATAATGACATGCAATTGATGCTAAAAAATAATCACTGACTACATCATCACAGCTAGTTTTCCTGCTTGTGGCCCATCCTGCTGGATCTTTTTTCTCTAACATGTCTTGTGTATGGACTTTGACAGGGCAAGCAGTGTGATCATGGCTCTGTAACAAGAGCTGAGGCAAGATTCAATCAGTTCATGTCAGGGATTTTTGGTTGTCTTGGGCTGTTTTGTTTGAAGAAACACAGATTAAGTGCAAAGCAAAGAACCCACCAAATGAGGTGACACACTCCAATGTCTAACACAGCGAGAGGCTGAGATGTGATACAGTTGGGAGAATGCTTGTTAAATCAGCTTTTCCCCTTTCTAAAATCCTTCTGACGGAGTGTGTTTCACTGGCATCCAACCCTGCAGAATCCCAAACCTAGAAATCCTTTGCCAGTGAATGTGATTTATGGTGCTGTTAATGATGCTTCTCCACAAAGTTTCTTTCAAAGGTTATTTGAGACTGGCAGCTCTGCTGAACACCTTCCACAGGCTGGAAGGGGAATCCAGTGTGTTTAACTTCAACTTCCTTTGCAGTTCACCTCTCCAAATTGCTCAGGGCCACATTCCACACCAATATTGCCCTGTTTGAATCCCTGTCCCCTGGGTTTGCTGTGAGCACGTTATATTGGTATTCTAAGGTAGTTTTTCATGACTCGAGTTATGCTTTCTCTAACAATGCACTGTCACATTTATGAAGCCCGTGCTTTCTCCCTACAGGCGAGTACAGCTATCTGGGGACCACACTTCAGCAGGCAGATAGAGAGCCAATGCCCTCTCTTGCAGATGTCAGACAGCTAATAGCACTGTATGGAATACTGCCATTAGGTAAGAGCACAGCAGAAATTACCAGAGGGCAGAATACAATGGCTTTGCTTCCTGTCAGTAACGTGCATTTTTACCGGCTTTGACAAGGCTTGATTAATCGTAATCTAAAGCATTTTGCAGTATAATTGTTTTTCAATTAAGCCTTCTGAGTGAAGACCGTATCAATTTAATAGTGCATAAAGGAGCTTGCACATGCTATTGTCAGGTATTGCGTTTCCAAACCATCTCCGTTTGCATGTTAACAGTTTGTGAATGGCAGCACATAAAAGGAAATCACTGGGGAAAGATAATAGCTAAAACAAGCTCCAGTGATCAAAATTAATCAAGTTAAGGGAAGGGCTAAGGTTGCAATTTACCTTTTACAAGCTGGCTAATGTTACTCAGTACTAAACAACACAGTCGTTTAAGGAATTAGTCTGGATACATTTTGTACATCAGAGGGAACACTTTTAAATGCTCTTGTAGTTTGCATTAAGACTTTGCCAATACCTAACAAAGCTTTGCTGGGTCGAGTTGCATGCTTTTAATGGAAAAATCTATCCCATATTTTACTTGGGAATGGCATATGCCAGATTCTAGTGATTGCAAGAAGTGCCTGCCTGTCTCAAGGGCCTCTACCCATACTTCACTTGCATCCTTTGCCATTCCTGATCGGCTTTCAGGGAGGTTTTATCCTCCCTGACATATCCTACCCCAGGCTGTGCCATTGCCTGCTGAGCCCCTTTATAGGACAAAATAACTAGGACAAAATAACTAATGTTATTTTTGCCATTCCGGCAAATGGAGCAAAGCTGACACTGAGCTTCTGCTTTCCCCTCCCCTTTGCACGCCTCCCAGACAGACCTGTGTTCAGGCTGGTCTCTATGTACATGCTCTGAGGCTCTTCTAGGATGTTTTGTGGCTCTCCCTGTCCCCACAGAGGGCATGTGCTGTAGAAAGCTCAGTGCAGCAGTGCACAAGGCTGCTTCCACTTGGTCTCAGGTTGAGCTGTAGGGCAGCAGGAGTGCTCTATCTGCAGATCAGGTTAACAAACAGGATGCTCCAAACACCCCTTCCGTCAGCCTAGATGGGCTTTCCTTATCTAAAACACTCCCAGCTGGTTTTTGGATTAACTCTCAGGGGTTGGCTGCAAGTTTGACCACAGTCAGCTGAGAGAGGTCGGCAGTTATTGCTGTCTGCACTGACTACAATGTGGTATTTTGTATACCACATAACTCCTCCAAGGTTATGTTTTAATGCTATCTAAACCTACTGAATTCAAGCCCCAAGACACTCCCTGAGGCAGGAGGAAAGAGAATCCATACATTTTCTACCATTTAAAATTCCAGGGAGAAATGCCCCTGGACTAGTTAAACAAGAAGTATTTGTTGTAGCATTTTTAAAATGCCTTTAAGTAAAGCAAGCTCTTGCATGAGCCAAAAAGAGGCACAGGAATGGTTTTACCTTTTGGGTGCTCCGTTACGAATGACATTTCACTTAATTCATCTCAAAACTAGTTAATCATATAATGGTGTATGTGTGGAAGTAAAAGTTATTCTCATAATAATCACCTGATGGCAAGGAAAGCCCCCAGCTTAAATAGCATTGAGAAAATTATAAGCAGCTGAAGGAGAAATAAGAGTAGCCTCTATATTTCATCTTTAAACACAGAGGAGTCTGCTGCTCCCCTCATAATAAATTGATGTGTAAAAGGAATAGATTGGTATGGAACCACCAAATATTAATAAAGCCTGGGTGGCTGACAACTTCACTACACCCTGCACAGCCCTGAAATAATGGCATTCATCTTCGCAGTTGGTTCATTGTCATTTATTTGGGTTGTTAAAGCATTAGGACACAATAGGCAGCCTGACTGGATTTGGGTTTAGCTGTCTCCTTAACCCAGAGAACTTTTCCAGGCTAAGCCAGAGGCTTCTGCTGCAGCCCAGCACCTTTGGGGCCAGTTTCCCCCACTAGTCCCATAGTCTGATAGACACCAGTCCCAAAGACCTTCAGAAGTGGCAGATGCTCACACACATTCAAATTTGCCTTAGCAACAACCATCACTGCTCACACAGAATGGTTTTAGGCTTCGAGGCAGTGATGTTACAGAACTGCCACTGTGTACAGATACAGCATTTGACATTTCCTACTACCTCCATCTCTAGAGGTTTACCTGTACCTAATTCATAGAAGAACAGAGCTGCAGGGAAGACGAGTTCTATCACCATCAGCCACCTAAATCTTTCAGTGGTCCTGTTTCCACAACACAGGCAATTCTTCCAGGCTTTCCCAGGTGATGGATGCATTTCTTACAGCCCAGAATGAGTTTACCTGGAGCTGCCATAGGCAGAGATTTAGAAATGCTGAGCAGTCATTGCTGCTGGCAGAGCAAGTAAAGCAAAGCAACCCTGGCATTTGCATTTGTTCACCTGAATAAAAGGAAGGGAACAGAAAAGGATCCTCCTCCTCACAGATAATATTGTACTTGCTCTGCAACATGCAGATGCTGAGTTCCAAACTGGGGAATACTATTAGCTCCTCTGCAGATGAGCTAATACCACACTCAGCAGGCAGGCTTAGAGGGCTTATTGGGCTGAGAGAGCTGGGCTGTTTCAGCCTGGAGAAGAGCAGGATCCCTAAGGGTAGACTTTAGAGCAGCTCCCAGTGGACAGGGCTCAGAGCAACCTGCTTTAGTAGAACATGTCCCTGCCTGTGGCAGGGGGTTGGAACTGGATGAGCTTTAAGGTCCCTTCCAACACACACAAACCAGTCTGGGATGCTATGATCAGCAGTAAAGGGTTTTGGAGAACAGCTAGCCTCAGTGACAGGCAGTCAGCGTCTCCAATGCTCACTGAACAGCAATAACATTTAAGAGGAAAAATTACCCGAAAAAGGCAGCAGTTAAAGGAGATAAAATAAAACACATGGAAACATCTGGTTTCAGAATCACTGACAAACACAGCTCCAACAGACTCCCATTAGTTTGTTTGCTTTCAAGATGGGGAAGCTGGAAATTGTCAGCAGAAGGAGGGAATTCTCTTTGTCCTGTGTGCAACTTGAGTCTATGGCTTTGTCCAGTTGCAGAAAGTGAGGACTTGCTCTCAAAACAGATGCAAAGCTTAAAGCCAAAGGTACATCTCTAACCCTGCCTCTGACGGACAGCTGAGGAAGGGAGCTGACAACTGCTGTGTAACAAAGCAAGTCCCTGTGAGGAGCACCAGGCCTGTACACATAGCAACCAGCATCAGCTCCTTTTCAGTGCTGTTATCCTGTGTCCATCCTCAAACATTTATCAGTGAGTTACTGCTCTTTGATCTCACACAGATTCAGAGCTGGAGTTTGCCCATCAGAGTGTGTAAGTAAAGGTGGTTGAGTTGTACTACAAACAGGGATGCTAACTCAAATGTGGTAACTCCTACAGAATTGAGCTCAAGAGTACTTGTGCCATATTAAGGAAATAATTCACATTACAAATTATTGACAGTAGATGAATCACTCTATTACCTTTATGACAGACTTAAATTAAAACAATAATAATGCCATATGACTTTGTACAGGTTCTCAAATAGTCCATGAGAAGGCTCCTTTGGTGAAGGCCTTGTTACTAGCTGGACCTGCTGGTGTTGGAAAGAAGATGTTGGTCCATGCCATCTGCACAGAAACAGGAGCCAACCTCTTCAATTTATCTGCTTCCAGCATTACTGGGAAATATCCAGGCAAGAGTGGCCTGCAAATGATGCTTCACATGGTTCTCAAGGTACTGTGTTTCATGTACTTCTCTACAGAGTTAGTTCAGTTCGGCACATCTTCTGTGGAACAAATGGGGCATTGAGTCATAGTTCCTCCACAGTGAGGAATATGCACAGCAGTCATACAAGGGCAAAGCTGCCCCACGTCCAAAGGACTGCTAACCCAAATGGAAACTCCCTCCCTGCTTTCAAAGCCACGTGCTGACAGCCAGTGTGTGCTTTGCTGTAGAGGACTTAATGCCTCTTGAGAAATCACTTGTAGGAACCATATTTTTCATGTTAACATTTGTGCAAGCTTTGCATTACCTTGAATATGAAAAGCATCACAGATAAAGGGAATTCTGCTCTCTGTTTATGTGCACACCAGTCAGGAATGCTTGCCATGCAGCATTTAATCAGATACTACACTGGGGTGGTCAGATATTTCCTCTCTGGGACTCTTGCTGTAAACCAGTTTTCTCCTATACTGCTCTCTGTTTACCTATCAGCAAGTGTTTCAAAAGAGGGAATCCTAGTTCAGGATTACATTAACAGAAATGTATGAGAAGCCTGGAAATTAAAAAAGGCATATGAACTGTGAAGGACATAGCCCAAACCCTCCTCAGGAAAATAAAGACACTCTCCTGGCAGGATTCCTTCCACATTCTCAGTGCTCAGTGTTTCTGCTAAGGAAGGAAGCTGGTAAACATTTTCAGATAAAATCCTCTTGGAAAGATAAAACACAATACATACACTAGAAAATAGCTTTGCAGTGCCACTAACAGACTGAATTCAAATGGGCTTTCCCTGGGATGCGTTATCAGATGTACTGTATTAAATCCAGCATTACAGCAGGTTTGTAACAGGTGCCTCCATCCACAGAAAACCAGGAAAGTCAGGTTTCACGCTGAAAAGCAAAGCAATCCCCAAGGACCCATCTCTTGCTGGTCAGAACACTGCCGAAGGAAAAGCAATGGTGCTGTGATCATGCACCTTTGATGCTGCAACACTGACGCTAGGTCTAGCACTCCCTGACACAAGCTAGTGCCATTAGACTGAGCTAATACTCCCTCTCCTCCCTCCGCTCTGCACATTTCACCCTTCTCCACTTAGTTTCTCTGCCTTCATCAATAGCAAAGCTCATGTCTGGCTGCAGGCACAGTGCACACACCATCCTTCCCATCATCTAGTCCTCGCTACAGCACAAGGCCTTTAAACAGAGGAAAAGGGAGGGCACCTTTTTACTCCTACAGGAATGTGCCAGCTGAAGTTAAGGCTTTTTTATACATGCACATATATACATATAAAATATGTACAATAACTAGAGCATATATAAAATGTGTGTACACCTGTACACGTTAGATATTTAAGTCTAGATATACACACCCATGTAGGCACATAAGTCCAGATACAGGTATATAAAACCCCTTACATTTTTCCACATTACCTAAGAATAAATTGAATTATTACCCAACACCTCCCCCAAAATTATGAGTCCAAGCTGACTTGTCTACTGTAGTTCTCACAAAAGCAGCCATGAGTTACCAGATGGAAGTTGCTTGCAGTCATGTGATGTAAGGGCTAACCAAGCACTTGCTGATCAAAAGGTGTTCCAACTGCACCAGCAGTGCTGTTTCAAACTCTGCTCCTTTAACCACAGAGCAAACAGCACAGCACACTATTTCTTTCCAAGGGCTGCATCACTTGCATGCTCATTTCTGTGCAAACTCATGCTGACACAGCACCAGCCTGCCTTAGCATCATTCACATCAACTATGTTCAATTTCCTTTCCTAATTCCTTTGGTTGCTTCACCTCTCTGTGCCACCTTTTGTTCCCAGGGCTGAGCCATTGATTTGTGCTGCTGATTTTGACTCAGATTCTGTGGGTTCTCAGAGGCAGGCTGGAAGCAGTCCTCCAGCCACACGGGCTCTCACCTCTGCAGCTACAGCCCCTCTTTATTTGCTCTTAACAGTGCCAAATGTGTCTCATTTTTCCTGCCTCTGGGGACTCGCAAGTCCCTGCCACAGTCATCCACTGCCTTCATCCTACCAACGGTTGCTGCTTTTTTACAACATCAGGTGCTCCCATCCAGTATGCTAGTCCTGCACCTGGGATGAAGTAACCCCACACAACAGCACAAAGGGGTCTGGGCTGTAGCCCACCAATTAGACAGCAGCTTTGGAGGAAAGCACTGGGGCTTCTTAAGGTCAGCAAGTTGAATGCAAGTCAACAGCATGTCAATGCAGCAAGAAGTCAGCCAAATGCTGGCCTCTATTAGCAGAGTAGAGCCAGCCTCTTACAGGAATTACTGATTCCATCCTAATTGGCACTTATGACACCACAGCCAGACACTGTCTCCAGTATTTGGCTACCCTGTAACAAGACAGGCACTGACGCTATTGTAAGGCTCCAGTGTACAGAGGCACACAGAGCTGACATGCCGTGAAAGCCGATGGTATCTTGCCACTGCCATGTATTATTTAATGCTCTCAGTCTACTATCTGGCACATCATAGTACACCTTGCATGCAGATGGCCACTGAAAGATTCACCATGTCTCCATATTCAGATGCTTCTGGTCATGTTTTTTGCAAACAGCAACTGTGACTGTTGTCAAGCAAGCTTTCAACTCCAGCTTTCCACAAGTGCCTTTATATAGAATCAGTCAAGCAGAATACACACCTTCTACTTATAGTTGTAAGTGAATGACAATGAAACATTCTTTTTCTGCTGTCTTATGATCCATGTAACCATTGCTAAACACCAAGATTTAATATATAATTACATTTAGTATCTAAGAATTAAGGCTGCTGTGATAAAGGTGGAGTAACCTTGCACTTCCAATTACCTATCACATCTGCAAACAGAGTTGCTGTAATGAAAAGAAACTCTGGAGAACATAAAATGACCATTAGGAAACTTTCCGGCCATGACCGAGCATTGGCTGCTGGCAGTTGTTTCGTGGGAGACACCCTAAACAAGTGAATAGCAATGGAAAGAAATGGAACTTTAATTTGTTTCAGATGCAAGAGCCAAATTCTTTCTTTTTCCCCTCCCTTATTTAGGGAGGAGACTTGCAAGAGACATACCAGCCCTGATCCAAAAGGAGAGGCTTGCGTGTTACTCAAAGCAGGCATTTTAAATGTCATAAAGAGGAAATGACTTCTCGTACTAGGACAGGAAAACACCAATGTTTCAATCTCCTATTCAAAGGAAATGTAAGGAAGATTAATTTCAAATAGGAAGGCTATTGGAAAAAGCTGTGAACACCAAGCCTGAGCACTTGTATTCTCCATAAAGACACAGCACAGCCTGCCAGGTCAGCTCTGCTTCAGAGTAAAGAGAGGCTCTGTCTCTAATGTAGAAGCACTTCCCAACATTCCCAAAAACAAAACTCATCCTTCAAGTGTGAGACAGAACATGCTGAAATATTTCAATTAAGCCACATTTTCCATGGACTGAGCCAACCTAAACTCTCTGCCAGCTTGTACCAACCCATAGCTTGGCTTGCCAGTGTTCCCATCAAGGCACAAACCACTCCTGTAGTGCAACAGCTTATATAAAACATGCTAATAAAAGGATAATGAAGGATAATAAAGGACAGTGAAAGATGCATAGAAACAAAACAAAATCCAGAAGGGACTGAGGATGGGAGGTCGGATGCATGACTCCACAACACAAAAGTGTGAAAATGCAGGTAGTTCATAAGGCTTAACTCCAAGGCAATAAAAATGACAAGCACTGGCCTTCCATTAGCAACCGTACAGCAGCCATCAGGTTAATCACCACCAGAGTGAGACAACACCTCTCAGGTCCTTTACCAGAGCCGCAGCAGCACTCAGGAAGCACATTGCACAGAAAACCACACGTGGGAACATGTTTTGAGTGCAACACTAACCAGGCTAAAAGGTTGAGAAAGAGGTGGCCAGGAGGAAATACCAGCGGAGAAGTCATCTCTGTATATCAACATCTCAGTTTATGCTGTTTCTACTGAACAAGGGGGTTTACAGAGCAGCAAGCTGCAGAAATAATCACCGTCATTGTTAGAAGGCTCTTCTCAGGCTATTTGATTATGCTATTTAGCAAGACTGTAAAAGTGTTATACAAACAAACGAATGCAATGGAGTTTATTTAACATTAATTTATATAATCCCAGCATTTAGAGGCAATATAATTTCGAAGTCTGTCACTAATCTTTTTCTACTGAATCAGGTTCCTTTACCCATAACCACTGCTGTGTTGTCCCTTCAGACAGGTAATTTTTCTGGCAGCTGAAGAACTAGGTACAGTTTACCTCAGTACATTGACAGAAGTCTCTGCGTATTTAGCATTAACATGCCACACAAGACTCTTCCATTACAGTTGAAATCTGGGAACAGTCTGGTCTGCCTTTCTTCCAGGCATCCCAAAGTAATTCTTTCCTCTCAGTGCAGTTCAGTCTGCTAGATGCCTAAACCCTTTAAGTGTTAAATAACACCAGTGCTCAAACACACGGCGTTATTTCTGTGATAAAGCAGCTTTACGCTATCAGTTTACTCTGCATTTACTCTAGTGTCAAACAATGAAATTCATCCTGTTGAAAGGCAGTATTTATAGTTGTTTTCTGCCCAACAAACCAGGATATAGTGGCATCATCACTGGAGCATTTGCCTGTAAGGCTCCCACAGATAAGGTCTGTTCAGCCCTTTTAGCATCTTGCTACTTCAGCTGCTTTGAAGCTGATGAGTGAGTATCAACTGCAGAGCATTGAGCGCCGCTGGCTCGCTGCGGTATTAGAAGGGTTAAGGAGCCATCTGCTGGCAGCTCCTGCAAATTGTTCATATCATTTCAATTACAAATTAATTATGTACAGTGCATTTAATTACCCATGGATTCAAACTGCCCGTGGATAATTCAAATGAAGCACTTTCACGGGGGATAGACAGGCTGCTACAGCTCTGCCAACAATTTAAATGAGACGCCGATGGATGCTGGGTGTCTGATCTGCCTTCAGAAAAGAAACAGCCAAGCTTATACACAGTGTGTATCAACACCAGAACATACGCAGGCTGCTCTATACATTTAGAGCATCACCTCAAAACAGAAAGCACAGCGAAGTCTCTCAAAGAAAGTGCCAGAACTGAGGTTATTCATTGTATTTCCATCTCCTTGGTGGGGAAATGAAAGGGACAAAAAAACACCAGATGACACATGGGACAGCAGTGAGCACTCTTCCTTAAGAGCTCAAATGTAAGTGTAGTCTGGTTTAAAACTTAAGGTTCTATTTTAGAGGGCTGGTAACCACGGAAGTGACCTCCCAGCCAAACGGGAGAGATGTGAACCTCCCTGCCTGCGTTGGCCCCACTGAAAGGGCAACACGGGTTCCCTTTGAAGTACACAAGCAGAGTTCAACCACTGCCAACAGCTTTTATAGCCTCTGTGACCTCCCCCACCCTTATTCCGCCATCACATCCCACTGCAGCATGAGGCGCACAGGTATGGAGAGTACATTGCAGAACAGCTATGTGGCTTCCCAGGCACCATACAGCTGCATTATCCACACTATCAGAAGGGGACTGTTCTCCTTGGGAAACAACATTAGCACATGCATTAGAAAAGAAGCAACCCTCATCAGGATAAAGTGGGGAGAAGGCACAAGAATAGCAGATCCTACAGTGACAGAGCTTATTGGGGTGGTAGCGCACGCACACACAGGCTGTAAACCCGAGCTACCGACTCAAGCTTCATGGGGGAAAAAGGGAGGCTTCAAGGGAAACAGCCACCCACTGCCTCATCTCCAGTGGTTGTTAGATTTCAGAAGGTGAAAGACAAACATCAGAACGCCCCAGCTGATTGTTCGTTCATTAGCGGTGCTGAGTTGGGTGAGGGTCTCCGAGTCAGAGCTTCCACTCATCACAGTGGACTCCATAGCAGGTGCACAGAATGCAAAAGCAGCTCTTTAAGAAGCTGTAGGTTTCTTTCAGCAACTTAAACCATGCCTCTGTTTTTCCTTCCAAGTCTTAATGTTACAGAGAACATCAGTTCTCCCATCTCGGCTGTTTGGTCATGCTACCACCTTACACTTCTTTCACCTCTGGCCTCCAAGCCTATTTACATGCACCCAGGCACTAACGGCATTCACCTGCAGGTGCGAGTGAGTAGGACTGACTTGTGTCTTCTGCAGGTGTCTGAGCCCTTGACTAGCAGGATACTCAGCAGAAACTCCCTATGCAAGGCTGCTGTACAGCTCAGTTTTGTGAAAGCCACAGGGTTGCCCTGTCAGGTGTACCTTGCAGAGTGTGTGCAGGCTTAGGAATATGCCAGACTTACCTCTGAAAATAGACAAATAGGAGATGGATAAAACAAAGCATTTGCCCTTAAAATTGCAGCTATTATTGCTGTACAAATTTATATGTTATGTCATTCTCGCTTGTACACTCAATACACTGCTGGACTGAAAAGTCACCCCTTCAGTTGTACATGCAGATAAACATCCATATAACTGCCTAGGTCCACATATCAGTTTCTGCAGCATTTTCACATTATCTTTCATGACACAAAGTTTTTCTTTTCTAAATCCTCATTACTAAAGCTAACCACTCAAATCCCTGCCTTCCAGAGGAAAAAGCTCAGCTTTCTCCCATTAAACTGTTCTGAACTTGGAGGTACCACTTGACATATTCTAGGACTGATGAGTTCCCATAAATAAAGTGTCACATGCCAAAGACGGCATTGTTTCCACTTCACCCCATCAACAGCACAGCAAACAAGTTTAACATCCCTCATCTATTATTCTCTTCCTCATCTTCAGTCCGTTTCTACACTACAGACACACACACAAGCTTGGTGCTTTGGAAATGTGTCTGTAATAATGAACTGTGCTGCTTGGAAGAAAGATGTTCCTGACTTAATTCTTCCTGCACTGTCTGTCAATCAAACACTGCACTTCTGATGTGTACAACCTATTGATTTTGTAAGCTTCCTTCCTAGAAGCAGCAGCTTCAACCTGGGGAGGGAAAGAGCAGGACAGAAGACTGCTGTGTCTCTCGCTGCCCATTGACTCCTCGAGCCGTCACTTTTGTTGCTGAACAAACTAACACGGCTCCGAGAGCCACTAGAAAGTGATTAAAATTTGGCAGCAGAATGTCTAAACTCACTGGCGTTTCTATAGCAATAGGGAGAGTGATGGGAAAAAGCCTGTAGCATTGCTGCCATCCTGCTGTGAAGCAGAGGTATAGTGCCTCTGACTTTGGAGCCAGAAAGTCCATTTGTATAGACACACACACACACACACTCCCCCCTTCAGATTTAGTAGCTTCTGCTTAAATTCGTGGGCTAGCTGCAAATTAAATGCTGTTTTGTAAGCCAGAAGATTGCACATCAGCCTATTTTACTTAAAGCTTAGTACTATCCCTTCCCACGCAACAGCCATGTCTTGCCTGACTCCCCATCTCTATCTCCCTTGGAAAACCAGGGAGGGATCCTACAGGCAAGGGCTACCAGTTTTAGAACTGGTGGTGGCCCATTGTTTGCCATTGAACTTCCAGTCCAGGCTTCCTTTTTGCAGAACTGCAGCTGAATTTGGATTGAGAAATGACAGATAAGCATAGCAGTCAAAACAATCCCATTTGGATGGGTTCTAAATGATAGATTCCCAACTAGGAACGCTTCAGTTTGCCAAGGCTGCTAAACAGAGCCAGTGCTATCCATGAGTGCTGAACATTTCTGGAAGACAAATAACCCAGGCTCATTTTAACAGCAGAAACATGGATTCAAAAGCATAATTATATATGAAATTGTAGCCATTTTAATCAACTTCTTGCCTTCTCTCCCCATTCTCTCTTAGGTGGCCAAGCAATTGCAGCCTTCAGTTGTGTGGATTGGAGATACAGAAAAGATATTCTCTAAAGCAGCATCAACGGCTGATAGAGAGGTGAGGTGCTCCCTTTTTATTTCACTCCGGATAATTTCTTCTGCTGCATTACAACAGACACAAAGGAACAAGTGTATTTCTCAGCTTAGCACATACCGGTGTGACCAGACTTGGCAAAGCTTGCTTGATAATAGCTTGCTCGCTAACGTTTTCTGCTTTTAAGAGAGTCTTGTGACTTCTTCAGAGCCCCCAAGAGGTCACATTTCTCTCCTACACCTGTACTTGCTTTATATAAAAATAGTCCAGCTTTCAGTGCACTGGAAAGTAGAAGAGAATAATGGAGGCTTTCAAAACACAAGGCAAGAAACTAAAAGTTAAGCTGAGCTTTAATTGCTCAGCTCTATTAATGTGAGCAATCATATGGAGCCAAAGTGAACAATAAAGTAACAAGGATAAATTTCTACAGCAAAAACAAAGGGCCTGTGTTAAACAGATAAATTACAGATTATTTTCTTGGGGCTTCCACTGCTTCCATTCCTTCCTCTCTTGTGTAGCTTCCCCAGTAGAAAGAACATTCAAACATTGCCCAATAGGCACAGCAACTCAACCTCTGGAGCAGAGGGGCAACCCACCCAAAACCCTCATTAGATTCATGTTGCTTGCAAAATATTTTACTCTTAAAGCTCCGTGTGAAAAAAATTAAACCTCGTTTGTCTAAGGTGAGCCCTGTACAAGCAGACTGTGAGATAGACACAAGCCTGTATTTCAAAAGACCATGGAAGCATCCCCTTGGATGAGGCTGTTATTTCTGTGAGCTGGTGAATGTGCAGTGATTGATGCCCTCTAGTGGTCGCCACACCGAAAGGGAACCTTTCTCTTGGGCTAAAACCTTGACAGCAAGTGCAGATGGGGATTAAAATTAAGATTAAAGGCCAAAAATTGCCTGGGGTGCTCATGATCTTTGTCTGCTTTGATAGCCACCGGTGTGGAAAAGCTTCTCGTCCTCCCCACCTCTCCGCCTGCTATCACATCCAGGGACCTGCAGGTATTTGACTAAAGGTCTCTTGTGTTGGTGGGAGAAGATGGCTCCAGGTTTTAAATCACTCATGTCCACTCACCTGTAGCAACCATTATCTACTCTCAGTCATTTCAGTGAGATGGAATTCCCCAACCACGCCTACTTCCAAACCTAAAATAATGTGATAATTCTCACTTTTCTAGAAACATTGCATCCTGGAAAATATTTGTACTTCCTTCTGATACACAAGAAGAGGAGGAAAGCTTGCAGCCTATGAGTAGCAATAGATGTATACATCACAGAGAGTAATTTAGCCAGCGTAAAAGTAAATCCACATTTTGGCCATTGCCATGACCAGATCTCCCTGGCAGAGCAAAGGTTGGCTAAAACTTCCAAGGTACCTATGTAATGGCGGCTTGTTTTATCCTCAGAGAAGCCAAGTTCATTACCAAAAGCTTCCCAACAAGGCAACGGCAAAGATTAGATAAGATCTTGTGATCTGAAGTCACAGCAAACATAGTGTTTGGGTGTGGACAGAGCAGTCCTTGCTGTTCTCTTTCTTTCTGAGCAAGAGAACAGCAAAGACTTCTCCTTTGCTCCAGGGCAGACCCACTGTGCTAACAAGGCACATTCCTTGGGGGCAAAGCAGGCATCCTGCTGTCTTAGGAGCGTTGGGTGTGCGGGCACAAGGAGGTGATGAAAAGATGGCAGCTGGCACTGAGTGATGGCCATAGGAATAATTCGTCCAAGAGCAAAAACAGGAGTGAGATGTACTAGCCTGGCAAGCAACATGCCTATGCTTCCAAAGTGGAACCTAAGCCCTAGTACTAAGACATGCTCACCTTCTTATCGTGATTAAGCAATTGGCAAACTTAGACGCATAGTATGACCCTAAGAATAAAAAGAATGAGAAAACCAACATCTAGTAATTAAGTTTACCTAGAAAATAGCTATGTGACTGTTAGGATTTTTTACTGATTTCCCCATTTCCTCTCTGCTGCAGCTTTCGTTCTGAAGAAGAGCTTTGTCTTCTTTCTGTCTGCTATGGCAGACAACAGAAAGATGGTACACTCAATGGAGATTCATGGGTGTTTATTATTGCCCTTCAGCTGAGAAGGTTTACAGGACATATTTTCTTCCTTATTGACATTAAGGAAGGCTGATAGGAAGTGGAAACTCAAGTTTTTCAGGGAGCTCCTACTATTTAGTAAAGCCTGCAAGTGAGTGAGCGCTGGTGCCTTGGATGTTAAAGTCTCAATCATTTCTGACAAGAGGCTTCCAAGTCAGTAGTCATCTTTGATACACTGTCCTAACCCAGTTATTCACTTACAGCTTTATTGACAGCAGAGTGACACCACAGCAATTGGCTTAAGCTTCTCCAGTCAATATTCACTTGGACATCATCAAACATAAGTATCCTATAACAGGTTTTGCCCAACACTTATCTGTTCTGTACACAGTAGTTAAGTGTTTCTTAGAAAGTCAAATAGTAAATTATTGCATTCATTCACTCAGGAATAAAACCTGAATTCAAAGAGCTCGTGTTCTCAGGTTAGAGCATCAGCAAGCTAGAAATCACAGCAAGAATTAAGGAGTGTATTTTTCACACGTAAACCATGAGTAGGAGTTGGTAGACCGTAACCTGTAAGAGCAGAGAGAATTCCAGACTAGGCTACGTACCCTGGCATTATTTCTATCTGTTAAGGTTTATCAGGTGCACAGTTCCAAGCAATATTTCTCCTTGAACTGGAAATCAGAATTTCCTTCTTTAACAGATTTGCTTCCTTCCTGCTGTTCAATAACAAGATCAGCAAATTCAAGTAGTGAAAGAAACTAGCACAAACCCACAGATGCAAAAGCAGAAACTGAGTGCTCACCTGACTTCCTTAACAACTTTTTCCCCCTTGTATTCACATGTACATGCTGAAGATGGGCCCAAAAAGACTGGAAAAGATGCTCCCCAAATTCCTGAAGGCTCTGAAAGCACCGGACAGAGTGCTGCTCGTGGGAACCACCAACCGCCCCTTCGACGCCAACCTTAAACCTTTCTGCAAAGTCTACCAGAAAATCATTGTGATTCCTAGGCCTGACTATGCTTCCAGATTTGGCAAGTATTCCAAGTCATCCGGACTGGTAGCGGTGGCTTAAATCTGTGTTTATTGCCTGGTTAGCCTCAGAATTGACTTTAAATTCATAGCCTGGGTACCATCTTGCTTCCTGGATATTTAGGTTAATACTGATACAGGCTACACCAAAGATCAAATAAGCAAAGTCGAATTTGGAAGAGTTTAAAACACTGTTCAGTGGTTCACATTTTGTCATGAGTTCAGTGTGCACCAAGTTCAGCCCAATCTGGTTTTCCCCTGTATGAAGGAATTTCAGTGCACATTTTCTATTTCAAGCTTTTACATAGGGATTCTGTATTTCTGTTATTTCTCTCCAGTTTCCATACCCGAAACAACACACTTTAGGGCCTCTCCATAAACAAAACCATCTCTGGAGGACTTTGTTTTGCCACTATCAAATTCCACTTTACTACTTAGAGATCGTGAGAGTCATTGTCTAGGCATCCGAGGTTTGGCGTGTCTAGTCTATCAAATGCTTACAGTGATAGGCCCTCCCAGAGCCTGACAAATTCACTGAGTGCCCCATATGCTGAGATTCACAGTTTGTAAGGAAAACAGTGTCTTTTCATAGACCAATTTACACGGTCTATATAAAAAGACAAGCTTCCAGGAATGCAAGTTTGGTTTCAGATTTGAGTCACCTTGAAGTCTGCAATAGCTCAGCATTGACTAGGAAGAAATGCTCTAAATTAAGTTTAATAATGTGAGTCAATTACTACAAGAGAAAAGACAGCTTCTCTGCATCCTTCAGATGTGGGTAGCAGAAGGGCTTTGAGCTGAAAGAGGGTAAATTTAAATTAGATTTAGACTGTTCTTCCCTGTGAGGGTGCTGAGGCGCTGGTACAGGGTGCCCAGAGAAGCTGTGGCTGCCCCATCCCTGGCAGTGTTCAAGGCCAGGTTGGATGGGGCTTGGAGCAACCCGCTCTAGTGGAAGGTGTCCCTGCCCGTGTCAGGGGGTTGGAACTGGATGACCTTTAAGATCCTTCCAACCCAAACAATTCTCTGAATCTATAAGGGCTTTTTTGCCTGTGGTTTAATCGCAGGTCATGTGGTTTAATACATTTTCTGGGTATTAAGGAATCTGGATGCGGTGTCTCATGAGCAAAAGGCCTGTTTAAGTTCAGTCTAAAGGTAATATGGAAAAAAAGGTCTGGAGCTATTCAGAATGGCTAAATTCTGAATAACACTTCAAGTTAGGATTCTCAGCTATGTGCTTCTACCAGCACAAATATACTGATCACTACACCAAGGAAAACAGACTCCCTTTGTGCCACTAATCTCTCGTAGACCATGTCCCAGAAGAATACATTAGTAAAGGAAACCACATTCAGTTCAGGGACCTGGCTACACAAATTGTACCTTGTCTACAGCATTACCTCCACAGTCACCTTATTACAAAAACCATGCAACTGGGTTGTGAAGTCCAGTTTCATGCTGCCTTTCACAGGGGCAGCCAAGGTATTGAGATGATGCACATTACAGCAAGCTCAAGACACGTTTTGACTGCCTAACACACAGTAAATCTCTTCCACCCTTAGTAACTTTCATAGCATGGATGGGAAATGGTCTCTAAGAAAGCTAACATGTGTTTCATGTTATGTTACAGCTCTGATAAATTGCTAACAGATAAGCGATATGAATAAGACCTAGGGAAAGGAGGTGCTAGCAGCTGAATTTAGTTGTGTTCACTTCTGGGGATTGAGCTGTCATTTTCTGGGATTCTCACCACTAATTTGGAATCAAAAAACAAAACAAAATACAAGGCCAGCTGAAGGGATTTCAGCTGCAAACTTAGGAATGACCCAGAAAGTGAACTCTGGATACTTTAAAGCAGATTAAACTTGTAGCTTTACTACTTTGACGTCACAGTCATGACAGCACCTAGCTTGTTCTTTAGCTCCAACCTGACCCAAAGTTCAATGAAAAGATGATTTTTACTATACAGAGTTCTCGTCTTCCAATGCTGAAAATTTTCAGTGCCTGACACCCAATTTGAGAACTAAAGAAACTTGTTTTGACAGCAGAGCCATGACATAACAAAGATTCATAGCCACAGCGCACAGCTACTTGTCTGCTGCAACCCTCCCTTCTGTTACAAACCAGCATAACCCCATCTATGCATGATGGGAACAGGAAACATACAAAGAAAATCATTCAACTGGAAGATTCATGATCCTATACAGGTTTCTTGCTATTATTCACCCAGCAAGTTAGTACCCTGTAACACACATGATCCTACCTGCAACAGAAGCTGCCGCACACAATATATAGCTGTGCTCGCCCTTGTGTGCATCAATTCCTTGTTATGAAGTAGTGATTCAGCCAATAACTATTGAGCAGAGATATAATTCAAGCGGAAGATCACAATTTGCTTGAGTGAAAAATGTAGTCCAAAGTTGTCAATAGTTATGGGCACAAGCCTGTGATATCGACATTGCAATCGATGGGAGAGTGAGGCAGGTTTTCTCCCTTACATGACTGCCCCAACATTCAGTACCATTAATTTTCCACCCAGTACTTTCATACTACATATAAGCATTCAAACACATGACACTCAGATCAGAAATTGCCTGTCTCACTCAAGAACCTTTCTAATCTCTATGCATGATACTGCATTTCTTTCCAGTTTGTTTCATGTAAGGCTCTAAAGGAAAGCATGGTGAGATGGCATGGAAGTTCTATCAAGTTTCTCCAGGACAGACTGTTACTTTACATAAGAATAACCAAAAGATGTTACAATTCCAATTTCTTTTTGGAAGCAAAATCTCAGGCACTTCACAAACATTAAGAAAACCTTCACGGCACAGAGGTTCACAGCTAAAAGATACAAGCAGGTTTCCTATTTAAATAAGAAGCAAATCTCAGAAACTGACACCTGGCCTTTGCAATACATGCCTGCATAGCTGGAAGCCTTTGGCTTCCAAAGCAGACATTGAGGCCCCCATAGCAGCCCTCAGTTCAGCAGGAGGAACCTGTGATCAGGGTCCCAGAAATAAAAACAGCCTGTTAATTTAAGCACTTAACTCTACACGCCCAAATGGGAACATTCTGGACAGGTTCTCTTCCTCTGTGTACACACAAGCATGTTTAAGTAGTTCTTGCCATTTTTACACACATATGCACATATGTGCCCTTAATGACTTTCTGAAAAGTATCGACCAGTAGCCAGCAAATGATCACTAACGATTAAAGAACAGATGTGCCTAAAGGCCACTTTGCTACAGATCTGTACATGAAAGAAACAGCAAACAAGAAGAATTGGAATCTTGGCTTTCCTGACTGATAACCCTTATTTTCCTGTTTCAATTTCAAAATGCATTTTTCCTGCTTCTCTTCATTCATGTCTTTGGCTTTCTCTCTTTTTTTGTGTCCTGATGAGCAGTGTTATGGAAACACATCATCCTGCAGAATGGGGGAGCAATCACCAGCTTACTGAACATAAGCTGCCTGGCAAACGTGTCAGATGGTTTCACCCCAGGACAACTCATCCGGGCAGTGCAAGCTGTGCTGACCGAGCTGCGCCTCTTGCGGATGAGCAGGAAGCCACTGAGAACTGATGAGTTCATAGGTTTTCTGGCCACACAGGATCCAGTGTACAGAGAGGAGGAGGAAGCATTTAAGGTGACGTCAAGAGCTATGTTAACTGCCTGTCTTTCATCATCCCCTGCCATGTTCTTGCCCATTTGATCTAGAGGCCTGCTAATTCCACTCATGGGCTGCTGCATCACTATTTAAATGATGATGTATGCCTCGACAGCATCAAACACCCATCTCCCCCATATGAGGATGTTTGGCAGCCCATGCTGCTGGGCAGCTGGACATGCTAGGCAAGCAGTCATTATTACAGGCAGCAAGCCTGGCATAGTGCTTTGCTGAGCCTCCTGCCTGCACTCAGCTCATGTTGAACATGGTCTTCAGGTGCATGGGTAAATTATGCAGGTGCCATTAGTATAACGTATTGGTCCTTTTTTCTTTCAGAGCTGACATGTTCAGCAAGCCTAGCTATATTATCTTGAGGAGGCAAAAAAAGTGGACATTCAGGGTCGGCAGGGTGTTCCACATAGGTATCATGTTCTAAGTCCTCAGTTTAAATTACTTCAGACAGAAATTTTTCTTATAAGAAGAGTTTTCATTTGGGGGTTTAAAAGAATAATTAGTTTTCTGCCTCAAGTTTCGTTCCTCTCCACACCCCCCAGGCTATAAAACCCTGAAAGCAAAACCTAGTGCATTTGAGATGCCTTACATGTACCTCAAATATACATGGATCACCCTGCAGACAACTACTTTCCCCACATGTAGTTCAGTAGTATTTACTCTTTCTTTCCCTGGACTAGGATTATCTTTATTCAGTGGTTAATTCTGCTTTCACTGTCTTGCTTTTTCTTTTCCTATTGATGGAAGCAGTTTATAAGGCTTAAGTACAGGTCTGTAGCTTATTTACTGTAGTGACTTCAGTGTAGCTTAGGGACAGCCAAGTTGGACCTGAACTACCTAGTGTGCAACACTATGGCTTAGCAGTACTGACACCCCAGAAGAATGACACAACATTGGATTAAGGCACCTCAAACCTACTAAATGCTAGTGAAAGCCTTAGCCTCCAAACAGGAAAACCCTGCTGTGTACCAAGGAGCTGCAGGCAGCCCACAACAGGGGCTCCAAATGGGATAGAACTTCTGTACTGCCAAAAGACCCCTAAAGAGCTTTCTCAGCCCTGAATCCCGCACAGTTTCTACCCAGACCCACTTATAAACTGTCCAGTTCTCCCAGCTGAAAGGTTTGCATTTCATTCCTCTCTTTAAATCCCCTCTGGGTTTGAATCCCCACAGCTCCTTGCACAACAAACAGGATGCTGTTTCTAACAACTTCATCCAAGTCGTCTTCAACTGCTAACCTAATGATAGTGCATATATCTCCCAGCCCTCTTGAATACTTTCCAGTTTCCATTTAGAGCCATTTGGCTCATTCAATGCAGGCAGCATTTGTGATATTTGGCAAATTACTCTTCTCTTCCTCATGCTTCCTATCTAAACCAAAATCTTTCCTCAGGGAAAGGCTAATGGTTCAGTCTTGCAGCAAAGGAAAAAAACCTACCATTCCCAGCTCCAAGCAGCAATCCATTTGTACCCTGAAACATGAGAGCTAGTATTTAGTAGAAGCCCAACTTGAAAATGTTATTCCACTTACTATAAATATGCCTGGTTTGCACAGCACAAAATATGCAGGCAGCACTTCATTTTCAGCACAGCTAAAAGGATCCTGTCCTCAGCATCCCATGGCAATCGTTTCCTTGCATTAATTACAGCCCTTAAGAAAGTATTTCCTTTTATCTGTTTTAAATCTGTTTCTCTTAAATGCCATGGAACCTTGCCCCAGTACCTGTAATATGGCACAGGGGAAGAGGGCTGGTAAAATGGCCTTGTGTGCTAATTAACTCCAGTATCTTCATCTCTTCTCACACAGAAGCCCCTCTTCCCAAGCCTCTAATCATTGCCATTGCTGGACCTTTTCTGTTGCTTTGTCTTTTTCTGAAGTGGGGCGGCTAAAATGCAGTATTCGAAGTGGAGATTAGTGCTGTGATGAATCTTTGATTTCTCTTTGCTGGAAACATGAATCTCCCTGTTTGACATTTATATTCTGCCAGTGTTCTAAAATGAATATAAATAATGCAAAAGTTGTGATAATGTGATTTCTTCAGTCAATTCACTCAAATTTCTGCCCCAATTACACATCTAAGTTTGTGAAATTATAAATTATTGCACCAGTGTGATTGATACAAATCCTGACACAGAAATAACGTTAATCCTAAGAGAGCAAAAGACAGTCCAACAAGCACACTAGATCTGCCTGCCAGTGACTGTGCCAGATTACTTATAACATGTAAGAAAACCCATACCAAAGACTTTGGACATCATTCCTCCAACAAGCAAACGTTTTAACTCTGATCAGTCACTTACTGTCAGTGACTCACATCCCCAGCTCAGATGCTGGTGCATTACTGATAATTCTACTTTTCTTTTAAACGTATCTGAGGAGCTGGCTTCTAATCCCACGTAGTCACAACCAGCACCTTCTCTTTCTTATCCCACTCATGTGAAGGACCAGAAACAGCCATCTCCAGACCTCTTCCTGCACCAGCTATGTCCGTTCTCCATGACACAGGAATAGCTTGGCCTGAGGCAATTGCCGAGGCTGCTGCACTGAGAGCACAGGGTTTCCTCCCAGACACCTCCCATGACACTATCTAGATGTAGATACAGGAGAAATTGCATCATGTTTTAATCAATCATCAGAGTCCATGTTCTTGAAGGAGAGCAATGGGAGCAGAGATCACAGTGATCAGGCTGCCCAGCTGGACATTTGATATCTCTCAGACTTTATTTGCCTGCTGACAGTATTTAATCTGCAATAAGAGATCCACATTGCGTGCCTGCCATCAGCCCTTTTCTGGGACACTGGAAGCTTTTAAGCAGCATGACACCAAGGACCATCTGAGACCAAGAAAGGAACAACAGGGTGTTTTCCTCCCTGTACACTTCCAATGCCTTTTCTCCCAGTTACTTCATTTGCTGCTGCCTGTAACACACTGGGAAACTGGACAAGGCACAACTCTAAAGGCTCAAGCTGGAGGTAGCTTTTTGGATGGATCCTGTGGAAAAAGCAGACTTAAAAGGGTGCCGCATTGATAGGAAGGTTGAAGACGACATTGGCCCAAGCAGAGGGCAGAGAAGACAACAGCTGCAGCATTAAATAGCGTTCTGTGGTCAGAGGAAAGACATCCTTTCCTGAGGCAGCATGTGAATGAATATGGTCAAGGAAGGCATTTTATCAGTCATGTCAACACCTAGTGGCATTTTAGTGTCCGATGTAGGCATGACTTTGCTGATAAAGGTTCCTGTATGTATGTATGTATATATGGGGAAAGAGAAGCTCGTACTTCTAACTAAATCATTCCACTTTACATTTTCTTCACATGGCCTCGAACTGCCTTGCTGACATTACAGTCCAGAAGCTTGGCAAGTTCACAAAGCGACTCTAGCAAGATCATTTACAAGTCACAGGATTGTGAACAGGCATCTGAAAGCAATAAACAGGTTTTTAATGTTCAGGGCTTGCTTTGCTTCTTAAGCTCTCTCATTGAAGTAAAACCTGTCTGGTTTGATTTGCAGAGCCAGGAGAAGTGTATGCTTTGTCTATTGCCAAGTTTCAGACCAGAGGGAGTTTTGACAAGAGCTGTATACCCTGGAAATAGGGTTGATCGTAGAAGTTCTAACATTATCCATAACTGTAGCAACACAAATGGCCCAGCTAAGTACTCCTGCTAATGAAGCACAACTCAAGCAAGCAATTGCGATACTTCTTGTTGTAATAACGTTCTCAAGAGATACAGGGATTTCGTTTCTGCTTCTCCACGAGCCAGCCATGATTATGAGAGTTTAGTGTTTTTAAAGGAATGCTCCATTGTACCAGTAAAAAGTTTAAGTGCTCTTTTATTTCTCCTCCAAGGTTTATTAAAACATCCACATGTGTTTTGGTTCTTCAGGCTTGGTATGCCAAGACCCCGCTGGGCAGGGCACGAACCAGAGCCCTGGCAGGCAACGCAAAAGCAGGAAAAGGGAAAGGAAGTAAAGGGAAAAAGTAACCTCCTTGAGGATTTTGCAGCTGGCAATACCCATCACAGCTCGACTTCATCAAACTTTATCAGCACAGAAGATGGGAGGAGAGCAAACACATTGGAATAATACACCCCATGTTAGAGGTATTCCAAGAAAGAGAATTCCTTTCTGACTGAGTTTTACAAAGCTAAAACCCATCAGCTGAGACATCAATGTGACATGTAGCTCTCAGAGGGTAAAGAGTTAATGACCACTGAGTTGCTCAAGCATTATTTATTTGCAGAGATTTTAGGGGGCAGAAGGGTTCATTACTCAGCACTGTAACATGCCATCAACTTTTAGGCTGTTCTCATTTATTTCAGCAAGTAACTCTCCTTAAAAATTGATGTCACATTAATGTCTTTCATTACTTTAATACCCTATATGCTTTATAAAACTAACTGCTTTATATATCTGTAGGTCTAATGTGTTACAGTTCTCAATAAAACTATTACAGCTATAAAGACTGCTTTTTAATTGGGATGGATTATAAGACACTTAATGCAATCTACCACAAGCTGAATATTTACACAGGCCTGTGAGGACCAGCACTGTTCCAGCTTCTGATACCTTATCACGGAAGAATTCCTATTATGTGGATCTTAGCAAAAAACATGAATAAGCAGAACAAAAGCAAAGCAGTCAGGAGGGGTTCATTTTAGTGAGTGTCCCAAGAACCTCTTTTGCACTAGAAAACAATGCCCAATTACCCTGTTTGCACAAAGAGCAGTGTCTGTTGCTTAAGAAAACCCCAACATATACAGCAGAATAGAGCATTAGGTGTATTACCCAAATATCACAAATAGCAAAAGCAAGTTACTAAACCTTCTGAGTGACATTACTCAGGGCTTGGGATTGGGGTCGGTGCTGTTCAGCAACTTTATTGGCAATACAGACAGTGGGACTGAGGCACCCTCAGCACATTTGCTAATAACACCGAGCTGTGGGGTGCAGTGACACACTGGAGGGAAGGGATGGGATCCAGAGGGAGCTGGACAGGCTGGAGAGGTGGGACCGTGTGAACCATGGAGTTCAACAAGGCCAAGTGCAAGGTCCTGCACGTGGACCGGGACAGTACCATACAGGATTTCATTCACCAGGCTCCTCTACAAATAAAAGCCACAATTACCTGTTTTTGCTGCAGCATACCTATGTTGGCTTGACAATGACTAATGTGCAATACGTATTTTAACTGGAAACAGGCACACCAGCCCCAGGGAGCTAAAGGACCTCTCTGTACCTTCAGTATACAAGCTGGGAGATACAAGGAGGGCTGCTCCGCTGAAGGAAGCTGCTCAGGTTTCCTCCAGCACAGGCCAGCCTAACCTGCCCTTGGGTGAGGGTAACATCACACGTACTCTGCCAGTTACAATTCACTCCAAGCATAGCTCTGCTCACTGCTTACTGAGGTCTTCCCAGTGCGTCTTCTATATAAAAGCAATTGATCCCATTATAAATGTTCCTGCATCTTCATAATATCCCATTCCTTTCCTTCCCCCTGCTAGAACAGGGTTATTTCATCCAAAATATGGTGGCAAGTGACTTTACCTGGATGGTGAGTACAAAAACCCAGAAAGATTCCTACAGTCAACTCACTGCATAGAAAATAATCCATATCACTGAGCACAGCAAAGGGAACTGGCTATGGTTAAAGCAAGTTTTCTCCCCGAGGGAAGAACAGGCTGCCTTGCCATCACAGCCCAGTTTATAGAGCACTCCAGCTCAGGCTTTCTGTGCTCCTCTTTGGCTACTGTCTGGTACAGGGCTCCCTTGGATTGCAGCCTTCCAACCTTGAGGCAGCATCTCCAGCCCTGCTAAAGGGAGCGCTTGGGTAGACATCATCTTTGTAACACCTCAGTACATTCCTGATAGACACAAGTCTTTCCCGAAGCCACCCCAGCAATGATCCAGCTGCTGGATCCTCATCATTGGTCACCACAAGCATGAGCTGCCAGCCCCTGGATTTAATTCACTTGCAACAAAGCAGCTACAAATCAACTTTACTTTATTTGGTGTTTCTTTGCTTGCAGCAGGCACCTACCTTCACAGATTTGGCAGCACATCCCCATTAGGAAAGGTCCTCTTCAGCTTCACCCTGGGAGAAAAGAGTCAGGCTCCCCAGAGAGGTGCAGGGCTTGTGCTGAAAACCTCATCTCTGCTCTCATCTGCAAGGAAACTAATTTGGATAATTCTGTCCTCAATCTTGCCGACAGTGGAATCCTCCTCTCCACAACAGGTTTGACAGCAGAACACAACGTGATGAAAAGACCACATTTAGGCTGGACGTAAGCAAGCCCATTAACTCATATTTCAGCAGGTTCAATGCAATCTCGGTAGCAAAGTAACATGCTGACTGGCAACATCCATCTCCAGGGCACGACTCCGACCCCACGCAGGGAGGATGCAGGGACCTCTCCCCATCCCAGCTGTGCAGGCAGAAACCTGCAGTTTTATTCCAGTATCCACCAGTCTATAGGTAAAGGCACTGGGGCAATTCATCCTTCAGGCGTAGCTTGCAGCATTGGCTGCACTCAGTGTAAACTTGCTTTTCCCCATGGGGATCTGGAAGCCTCAGCTGGTGTACCTGCAAACAGCTCTGTGGGTAGGAAGAAGCAACAGAGCGGACAAACTCTGCCCCGTGTAGCTGCCAAGCCCTTGCTCTCCTTTAGAACCTTATCAGGGGGACAGAATGAGGAGCAGTTTTAATGCTGTTTATTATTACAGAAAGTGAAGTGCCACATCAAGCAGAGCCAACATACAGTGATTTCAGTGTCAATGGCTGAGCTAATCAGTTCAGCAGCCCTGGCTGCATCTCTAACACCCATCCCACTGTGAGTTTAAACAGTGTTCCTTGCTAAACCCAGCCACAGAAGTCCCAAAATCTGATGAGGGAGGAAAATCCCTTTGGCTATATGGAGTCACAGAACAGTCCAGGTTGGATCCCAGCCCATATGCACCAGGAAAAGGTGAGTTTTGGGGGGCAGCAGAGGGGGGTGCCAGGCTGCTCTGCTTCCAGCATCACCAGCAAAGTTGAGAAAGAAGCTGTCACACTCATTTATATATGTAAGTGATCTAGAGAATTATAAGCTAAATTATTTAAATGTCCCATTACTATTAAATTACTGGGCATTCATTGTAAGAACAGTCATAATACAGGAACTAATTTGGTATTAATGTGAATGTCAGCGTTTCATTGCAGTTATTTTGTACTTCATCATAAGATAATTTACCAATAAATTAATTGCCTTAATTGCTTCCTCCAAACCCAGGAGAACCACATATGACATGACTTCTAAAAAGTGTTTGTGCTCATCCCCATTCTCCTGCTTTAACCACGCTGAGGAGGAGCCCCCTTTGAAACACTCAGGAACAGCTGAGAAAGAGGGAGCAAAGTGTGACTTCACCCTCCCAGAGGCAATCAAGTCTTGGCATAACCCTGCCCTGTGGATTCTAACGTGTTTTAAATATAGCCCGTGAGTCCATGCTTGGAGTAGGAGCCCAGGTTTCAGTGTCAGCTTTGCAGGGTCCTGGGTGTTGGGCAAACAGCACAGCCCCCATTGAGGCAAGGGGGAGCACCTGGAAGCCATTCTCACCCACGTTCCTGTTGTACCAATTCCTCACATCCCCTCTGCCTCCCCAAAATACCAATAACCCTCAATCCCCTTCAGATGAGCGTCAGCCAAACCAGCCAGAGCAGAGGCTCGAGCTGCAGCTGATGGACCTGCTCCAGCTGGAAGTAACTTGCTGCCAATTTCCCACAAGGCAAAAAAGTGCCATAAATCAGAATTTCAGGAGTGCACAGGATACCCTGCCTCAGAGCAGCTCGTTGAAACCCTATCAGTAAGCCCAAGAAACACAAGTTTATATAGTGCTTGGAATAAGCTTGAGTAAGTAACCAATACCAAGTCAAGCTTTAAATCATCCCCAGCCAGCTTGGGAAGAGCCCCACAGTCTCTATCCCTGTTGGCATCCGACCGAAGGCAGCCCCAGTCCCACGCAGCCAGGCAGGAGGCTGCATCCTTGAACAAGGAAGAGGGGAAACCAGCTCTTGCCAGGGAAACAGCAGCAGCCACCATGAAGTCAGGCTTCCACAATGTGCCTTTGGTATTATTAGGTCCCTGGCTTATGTCAAGCGCTTGGGTTATGCCGCTGTGGCCAAAGCCCTTTAATCAGACACTACAACTCCAGTTAAACACGGTGCCAGCACTCCCCTCTCATCCCTTCCAATTCCACATGAGCTATTTTGCCTCACTGACCTGCCCTGATTTAAGAGACAGGGTTATCAGGAGCACTGCCTCACAGGGACTTTCACAACCAGCACTGAAGTTCCCTGGCAACCACAGCAAGTCACCCGGAGCTCCCAACCCTCCTTTCCCCAGGAGCTTAGGACAAGTTTACCACTGCTTTCCTCTCCAGGAGATGGAGGAAAGCTCCCTCCAGAGCACAGTGGGTGAGGACAGCCTTTTCCTCCAGCTTCTTGGTTTACGTGGGTTTTAATGCATTAACGGAGCTCTTCGGGAACGGGCTGCACCAGACCCACCACTTTGGCACATGCTCATCCACCAATATGGGGGGATCAGCCCAATTGCAAAATGCTGCTAAATCCTTATTGATGATGATGATTCCTCCTGGTCCTAGGCAGTCTGCATCATGCCAGGCTGGCCAATGGGTCCAGCTCCATGTGGGAGCAGCCCAAAGGAATCCATCTCCCTGGCCAGAGACAATTCCCAGCCACACAGCACCCGTGCAGCTTATTGTTGCCATCAGAACTGAAAAACAAGCTTCCATTTCTCAGCAAACCCCCGAAATCCAGCAGCACAAAGTGAAGCTGACTGTTCCATTAACTCCCATCCTGCATCAGCAATTCTCTAAAGTGTGGAAACATTATAATTGACTTTTCTGCTTGTAGCAAAATGTCATTTTTCCTTAATACTTCCTAAGTCAGTAATGCATTTCAAAAGCCTCCGATGCCACTACTACAACAGGACTTACAAATTAGCACATTTTTAGCTTTTCATTAAACACAATACCAAAAAAAGAAAGTCTCATCATATTAAGGGTTTCTCTCCTCATTATCCAAAGTACTGCGACTTTGGAACTTCGAGCAGCAAATTATAATGCACTCAGCCTGGCTCCATTGTAAATGAGGGCTTCAAAAAAGGTGTCATGTAGTCGGGCCCTCTTTAAGCACTGAAAATATTGGAGTCTATTTGAAAACGCCTTATGTAGTCTCTCACTAGCCTTGCAAATCATCACAGCACCGGGTAGGGCTGCCTTTTATTTTTTGCCTCATGGCATCAAGCCATTTCTATTCCGACCAGAAAAAGAGGATTATTTCTTGCTGGGATTTCAAGGAATAAAACCCCTGTACCTAAGCTAACAAGCTGCATAAAATCCCCGAATCCTTCAGGGCTCTTGTTCAGCTCCGCACAGCATCCATGGGGCTGGCCCCTTCAAAGGGGAG